TTGAGTAAGTTTCATCACTTTCTATTGGTTGGATTGTTGATTTGAATTTATGAACCCTAAAGTGGTTTTGTTTGATTTGTGTAGTTAGAGAGCTCAAATGAAAATTGTGTATTAGATGATTATGTCTTAGAATGATGTGTTGGAGCTATAAATGCAAAAAAAATTATTGGTGAAAAATGAGTTTAACTTAGTGGAAATTTGGATGATGCCATGACTTTGTGTTGGAGATTGTTGTTAGGATTGTGTAATTGCATGGTTGTATGATGTTATAATAGGATTGTATGAGGTGTGGAATAGTTGAATCGAATTGAATGGCCCTTGGTGATGGCCTAGGTACAATTCAGCCTTAATGGAAAGAATGAAGATTTGATGTTGTTAAAATCATTTGGATGATGTGTTATGTGATAAATGGTAACTAGAAGGGTTGTGTGATGGTTGGAAGGTTGGAAAATCAATGGAAAAATATTGGATAGTGTGGAATTGTGTAATTGAACCTAAAGCAAATTAATTGGCAAAATGATGTTTGAATGGTGTAGGATGCAAATTGGCACCTAAAATGGTATTTTGGTAACCTAAGAGTGCTTAAGAAAATTAGAAAGAAAATAAAGAAAAATATTTTGTAAATTAACACACTAATGGCCGAACCTCACTAGTGGGGGGAAGAGAATTTGATGTTTTTGGATTTTGATAGATTTGTCGTGTGTTAATGATCCGTACATGGTTATTGTAGGTTGCCGTTCGTGGATTTGAATCCCGAACCATGAGCTCGGTGGGTTGCCCTTGATCCCGGACCAAGTGGGATTGTGGTGAGTATCTCGGAACCATGCTTGTAGAATTAGTAACTTGCATGTGATCGTATGAATGGCAATTAATAGGGAATTTCCTCTCTGTAGGCATTTCTGTTGTGTAACGAGCTCGAAAAATATATTGCATTGAAGCTACGAGGAGAGGATTATACATGTAACCTCTTGGTACTGGGGCTTGATCCCCTTGTGTGTTCCACTATGCCCGTTGAGGGTGATGGTAGGAAGTGTATGTAAATAATATAGGATAACATGCTCATGCATATTGTATGTGTGTTGGTACATAGGATGTACCGTGTCTCTGGCCAGTAGACAGTTTGCCTTCGGGCGTTACGGACTTCCACTGGATAGGTCTCCGAGATGGAGTTTCAGTTGACCTGGGGTCGTGGTGTGTGATCCGGATAGGGGCACACTAGGAAGTCTCTGGTGGTTATGGATGGAGGGTGCCTTGGTTTGATGTTTTGGGAACACGCCTTGGTTGAAACCCGTAGGCTTATATGTCGAGCCAATAGGCTGGACGTTGCGTGGATTTGGCATTGATCATTTCAGCTTCGTCGTATTTTGTATTTCTATGCTCCCATATTTCACTAAATCCCTTGCTTTATCCCGTTTTCGGATGTTATGTTATGTTATTTATATGCATCGAAGTGAACCATTGGGCGGAGTATTCTCCAGAACCTCTGGGTTACTGAGATATATTCGTATATCTCACCCCGTCTTGAGGGCTTTATTTCAGGAGGTAGCAGTGGAGTTGGAGCGGCGGGCAAGAAGCCCATAGGATGATTGAGACGTAGGATTATTTATTTTGCATTTTGGTGGCCGTTGGGCCTAGGCTAGACTTAGGACATGAACATTGCATATGTATCTAGGATGAGGTTATTGTCATATTTGTTCATGCCATTTTTGCCTAAGTCTAGTTACATATGGGTTATGTCATTTTTAGGTTTAATTATTATGTTGCATTTGGAGATTTTATTACTCATAATGTAATTTGGATAATTGTAATTATTATATTGGATCTTGTGTAATATGAAGCATATGTAATATGATGAAAGGGCAATAGGCCTATTTTAGGATTATGATTATGTGTATGTTTAGAAAATGCATGCAAATGGATCTTGATGATTGAAATATGTTAAGTGTTAATAAAGTAAGCAATGTGATATGAATTGAGTAAATTGATATAAACTGTGATGGGTTGTAAGAGCCCCAAGACATTGCTGGTCCTTGTGTGTGCCACCCTATGATTATTAGGTACAAATTGAGGTCATAGAATACTTTTGCAAACTTGGGGATTATTGAAAAAACAAAGGAAACTCGGCGAATTTTTTAGAAATTGGCAGAATTTAGGCGAACTTTGATAGAGCATATCTCCCTCCACAGAGGTCCGATAGGGATGTGCCATATGCCGTTTTGAAGCTTGAGATGTCCTCTACATTGTGGTAAAATTTGGAAATTTTCTGGGTTGTTCTTCGTCCTGTATATGGCCGTGAACACAGACTGCCCTGTTGGTCCCTGCACATGGGGCTGATCTGGACAGAGTTTGGGAAAATTATTCCCGCTTCTTTTCTTGGTCAAATTAGGTGTATGATATGTAAAATTTAAGCTTGAGGTGTCTAGTTTGTTGTATAAAAATTTGAGAGCAATTGGTTGAGTGTATTTTCCAGAATAATTGATTGAGTGAAGGATGTTTGGAGCTGTTTTGGGGTTGGCTGGCAGATTTGCTTGTCCAACTTCAAACGGCGATATCCGGAGCAAACGAGAACTTTATGACTCGTGTGATAGCTTCCTAGAAAGGTAATTAAGTCTAGAATAACATACTAAAAGATGGGAGGCTTGTAGAATGCGGTTTATCCGCAGAAAATTAAAGACCGAACCATGTTCGGATATGTAGAAAACGTAAAGGTGAGATTTTAGCTAAGTGGGTTTATGGGAACCCCTTAGTGACTTGAGAGATGTAATATATGTTATAGAAGTAGTTTAAATAATTATTCCGCAAAGAGTTTACGGTTACGGTCACAGCTTTTATTTATTACGCTTTTTATCGTTTTAAATGCTCGCGTAATAAACGAAAAAAGTTTACTCGCATTTTTATAAATGAACTGCTGTGATTGTAACTGTTCTTAATATCATAATTAATGTTAACAATACCGGTGTACAACGGGCTGTTACACATGGAAAACTTATTAGTCCTATATGTTGTGTCAAACGTGACGACATCCCTAAAAAGCTCATAGGCGTGTCTGGATCTTGCATCGATCCAAAAAAACTTACCATCCAATTGTCATCATCATACTTTATAAAATAAATGAAATCTGGATTCAATGATTGTGGCTTAATACAATTAAGTAGGACATACTGTGCATCCCCAATGTTATATATTCTTCTTCTTCTCATATTTTTCATATGATTATAACAATCTCGACTATCAAATCCTAAATCATGGCTTTTGAAGATGGTGGCCACCTTTTCAGTAGGCAAACCTGCCTCATTGAATTTTTTAACGAACATTTTGCAGCATCAGGCATTTGTCTATATGATCTCGAATATGGAACACTTTTAAGAGTAACCATCTCATGGTTATGGTTATCGTTGAGATATGTAATTCTCCACATATTTGACTTTTTATTTCTAGAAGCCTTGAGATAAGCTTCACACCCTATACATGATGATGTCGTCCGCCTTGATTTGGTGTCACTTTTTTTTTCCAGTTGTGGATAACCCTCTATAACACTTGTTAGAATCACATAATTATTCTTGGATGTTCGTCCCCGAATTCCAAAACATCTTGCCCTATCAAATGTTGTGTACAAGTCTACTTTATCCTTCGTTTCAGGAAATATCATTCCAACCTCAATCAAAATGTCATTATTCTTTGTCGGTGATAATAGAATTGCATTAAACACATTATTAGGTAAGTCTTCTTCTATTTCATCGTATGTCATCTTCCATTTTATAATATTCCATTTCATTCGACAAACCATCTCCTCCGAAGTCAATATAATTTGATATTAACCTTTACCAAAGTAAACAGATGAACTACAACATTATTAATTAAGAAGTATTGTATTTATTTGTAGCAGAAATTTTCAATTAAACATTACTGATAAATCAATATTATCATGAGTGTACAGCCACAAATTTTACTTTAAATACCGATAGCATAGAGTGAAATCAACATAGAATTGTAAACATTGATAATTTCCTATCGAAAGACATGCTAAAAGCTAACCTCACTAATCTCCCTTTATATAATGAATTAGATAGGTGAAGCATGAATAACTTAACTATATTCAAATACATGTTCATATTTGACAGAATAAAATAAATTTATGCTAGAAAATTAAAATAAAATAAAATAAATGAGAATCAACAATATTGAAGGAAACAAGGATAAACTCTTCAAAAGTACTGTACATGTTCAGTGGAAGGCTTGTTATTCGAAAAATCGTCCTTCTCTTGCCCCTGACCCATCGTGTCTCAATACACGACTTCAATCTCTTTCTCGCGTGACAAAGAGAATGAGAAGAATGATTGATTGGGTTTTTGAAAACACATAGCAACAACACAATTGCAAGAAACCTCGAGAAAATGTGAGATGCTAAGACCTTTTTCGTTGGTAGATTTTTTTTATACTAAACCCTATACCCTAGTGGGAGATAATAAAATTGAGGAGAGAGAATACAAAATTATAAATCGTCAATCTACAATTAATTTAACAGTGAGAAAATAAGTTCTAAAAAAGTATAAAACTTTTATGTTGTAAATATAACTTTCTTTGTAATCAATATATATTTTTCAGCAAAATTTATAAAAAATATTTATAAAATACTTTTAGGAAAAAATGTTTCCGCAGTTAATGCAGAGAAGTTATCTGCATTTATTTCCAAAACGACGTCGTTTTAGTATTAAAATCTTAAAAAATTATAAATATAAAGACTATTATAACCTAAAATAAATTAAAATTACAAAAACACCATAAAGTCCGTCCCAAAACGACGTCGTATTGGCTTACTGCAGATAACTTATCTGCATTAACTGCGGAAAAAACGAACCCATACTTTTATAGATCGTTATTGATCAATATCAGATATTCGTTGATTTTGAACATAAAACACATTTAATGATAAGGATTAAGAAAAATAGAAATGTAAGCAAATTCCTTTTTAAATAGTTAATTGTAATTTGAGAATTGAGTTCATTCTACAACTTTTCACGTTCCTGGTTTTCACACAGAGGCGCAGAACAGAAGAACATGGAAGGTTCCAACCTCAGTGGCGGTTCCAGTCAAAACATTCGATGCCATCACTGCGCAGGACCCCTTTCAAAGGATATGGTATTTTCCAATTCCCTACTTCAACACTTTCTCTCAATTCAATTACTTTTCTTTTTCCTTCCAATTTCCATTTTCCTTTCCAATTTGAATTTTTGCAGGAAACCAGTAATTGGAACGTTTCCCCCCTCATCAGGGATAGCTTTTCTATGGTAAATTCTTCCCACCCCACTTTTTATTTGTTCTCAAAATTCAAACTTTTTGTCGATTTTGATGTTTAATTGTAGAGGGTTGGATCTAATCTTGTGATGAACAATGAAATTTATTTGACTTTTGGTATGGATTTCTGAGCTCTTGATCGTTATTCGAGGGATTTTAATTTTATGCAGATTGGTTCTGCCTTTGGTGGCATCACAAGTGCATTTTATGGCTTCAACCATGGTGTGTATTTTTATTTTATTTTATATTTTATGCATTTATATGTTAATATATGATATGATGTATCAGCTCGATATGTTAGCTTGTTAAGCTGCTCTAAAAGGGTAATTCATGTTTGGGAAATGGAAAAACATGCATAGTTAATGCACAAAATCTTGTGATCATTGATTTTTTTGTTTTTTAATTTTAATGACTCAACTAATATTAGTTAGTAGAGAGTTAATTTTTCTTATATCTTTTGTTTGTGAAAAACCTTAAAATACTGTCATTAAAACAGCTAAGAGGCACTACATTCAAACTTGAGTTGGGAGATTTATGGGATTTAGTAATAAGATGAACGAGAATGTATAAGTTTGATTGATTTGAAAATTGTAATTGCAGAAACAGTTCATGTTCCAAACTGAAAGAATGAAGCTTTAATGTTTGTATTAACAACCAAGACTATTATTATTCAAAGGGATTTCTTTTTTTCATTTGTAATGCAGTTATGCCAATTGTCCGGAGGTCGGTTAAGGGACCCATGTGGTTACATTTTTTTGTTGGCGTAAGTTTCTTGTGCCCTTTGATCACCTTCTGTCTTTATTTTTCATTTATTTTATTAGTTTCTGCAGTTCTCCCTTTTATAATTTTTTACTTTTTACTTCTTCTTTTTTCGTTCATTTATACTTTTTTCCTTTCATGTTCAATGTTTTTTTTGGAGGTGCACATCGTTGACTAGTTTTAAACTCTTAGATTAAGCATCCTAAACAGCTCAAAGTATTCTGTTGTTACATTTAACTATTTATAATCTAGGAGATTTACTGCTTTATCTTCTTCTTAAATAAAATCTCATGGAGATACTTTTTAAAGAGTCTGGAATTCCTTGTTATTTACCTCTATATCAATGGCAAAAATTGATGCAATTTATGTTGTCAAATTAAGTGTGAATATTTGAGTGTGCAACCGCATTAAAAAACCACTTGTCCCCTAAAATAATTCTTATCAGGTATGGAAACCATTTTTGCATGTCTGTGACATCCTTAGACAGTTGAAGGTACCCTGTAACCATTCCTATGATGTCAAGAGAAGAGATAGCCCTGTCAACTAGACTCGCTTGCTTCCTCCATTTGTGTATAAAGTCATTAAGTTGCTTAGACCCATGCATAAAATTAAGCTGAGTTATATCTCGTTCTATAATTTGTTAGAGGATCAATATGCTATAATAAAACTTTAAATAAAAGAACTTCTTGATTACTACATAAATACTCCCATCATGGCTATATCTTGTATGGCCATAGATATTTTGATTTCCACTTGCCAAAAGGGAACATATCTCTCTCTCTCTCTCTCCTTTTTTTTTTTTTTTGGTTGGCCTTTGTTACATTCTTGAAGCAGCTTTTCTGTCAGTTGCATTTTACCATCGGCTTTGAAGTTTTTTCCTTGAGGAAATTGTAGTCACTTTTTTGAAAAACACTAAAGATGCTGTCTCCACCATCTTCGACCATCATATTTGTTACCATTTGGATCAGTCCTGTTTTAATGCATAGATCATTGGTTGACCTCCCAGTAAAATATTCATGCTTTTCTATCATCTGTGAATTAAGGCTGTCTCTAAATTTATACTTCTGCTGGCTCATTGTATAACTTTTACCATGGAGGTTGCAGTCACTATAGATTCAGAGGTTTAGTTTGAACTTTGAATATAGTTTCTTTTGTGTGCTTTTTTCCCCTAATTTTTTTTCTTTCTAAATTGCCCTGTGCATAATGGTTTATATGGGACCTCATTTGCATATTGGAGTATCTGAAATTGAGTTCATAGGTATTCAAGCATTATAGAGCCTTTACTCATATTATGCACCAGAACTACTCCTAGGGCGATGCCTTCTGCCTTTATATTTCAGCAAAAACTTGTTCTATCATATTGACTGAACCTGCTCTTGATTTCAGACACCACCTGTGATAGTATTCTCTTCAGCATGTGCAGGACTGGCAGGTGAATTTCTGATTGTGTTATTACTTATTTTGCTTTTGTTATATACTTTATGATTTTTAGTTTAAGCTTGAGCTATGCCTAGTTTGGTAGGGTAAGTTCCACAAATTAATACACACACAAAGTACCTTACTTTTCTAAAATTACTCACGTTTACAAGAGTTTGTTATGTTCCAAGATTGAAAATTCTCGTCTTTTTAAGCATAGTCACCCTTATGACTAGTTCTGTGTTTGACAATTGATAACCTTTTTATTTGTGCTATTGAGTGGTCTTATCCTTGTGATGAAGATTACTGTGTTACTGAGTTGATAACCATGTCATTGGAATAACTGCAGGTGGGGCTGTTCCTGCTTTTGCACAACTTGTTTCCTCATCTTACCACGCAGCAATGTCATCGCCTCCTTCAAAGGATGAAAAGATTCAGAAATCAAGAACTTCCTCTACTCTATAATCATGCATTCGTACTGCCTGTGCTTACAGTTTTGTTTCTCTTGTGTAAATACTGCTCTTGAGCTTTAGTGCTCCACTGTGTAATTTCAGATCCTATCAGCTGGTTCTTGAGATCAGATAGATGCATCATCCATGATTGATAGTTTGGTTTATTATGTTATGATTTCTTTAATAAGGATTTCATGTTGCTTGTTAGGTTCCCTTTGCAATCTCCTCAGCTATTTTTATTTATTATCCATGTAACTTCTGCATCCTTTGGTTATATTTCGGATGCCTTCATTTTACAATAGTGAAAACGATCTCTATATTGTTTATCCCCCAGTTTATGTTGTATTTAAGTAATTATTACTACGTTTTAGAAATTGATTTTGTGCTATTTGATTGAATAAATTTACTATTTAAAGAATACCTCCCAGCATTTTTGTAACATCAGATTGTAATTATGATATTTTCAGGTTTCTAAATATTGTGCTGACGACACTTGATCAGGTCATTAGCTACACAAAGCATTTAAATTCATTGCACCATGTTATTTTTGCTTTTGTATGACAATATCCATTTGGGATCCTCAACCAGAACCAACCAAAAGAAGACTCAATTGGTATCTGGAAAATTTCACCAGCATAATCACACTGTCTACGCTCTTAGAACCCGATAACCAGACATGATAATAATACAATTTAGTTTTAAGCTTCAAGGTTCTATTGCATTTTCCAGGGAACATGTTATGTTGTTATATATGTGCCTTCAAGGAAGAAATCATGCCTTAAAATAAACAAACTCCCTCAAACTTCTGGGACAAATTATTAGTATTAACTGAGTAGTTTGGGTTGTGTGTAACTCTGTATGTCCTTGTGTATAGTGCTTCATATATTGAACATCACCACCCCAGTTGACGTAGTATATATTAAATGCCAATTCTTTGTTAACAAAGTTCCTCATAAAAGTAAAATCCAAAAAAAAAAAAAAAATTGTTTCTCATAAACAACTCGGGGTTTTAATTCTCCTTAAGAATTCATACCTGGTATTTAACAACCTATACTCCATCATTCCACTCATCTCATTCCCCCGGGCTAAAATGTGCCACCAGGAAGCCTTTTTCAAAATGCGCAGTCATGGATATTCAATCTTAATGCAAAGAAATAAGGGATACAATTTCTGCACAAATGTCCTTGTTAAAGAATTCAAGGAAGTAATACCCTTATACCATATCGTGTAGACTTCACTTTCTGAAGGGCATAGTCCATCAATGATATAACCAGTATTGCTTTGTGTTTCTGAGATAGGTGACTCACTCTCTTTTATCAGTATGGTATACATGGCGAACAAAAAGCAATGAAACTCGGAAACTGATGGCACCAAATATTAGGAAGAAAGCATAGCATAGGCATGCACTATAGCCAATAAAGAAGGATAGCTGCAAGAATCCACTCATATTTGATCTCACATAGAAGTAGATACAATACCCGAACATGAAAATGGCTGTTGAGCCACCACACAGTAAAGATCTGCACCCATAAAAATAAAAACAAAAAAAAATCAGTGACAAAGTCTCATACTGAAGGATGCCCAATGTTTATAGATTTTACTCTTTTTACCTCCCAAAATTCTTATACAACATATAAACATTATATTACATTTTATTTCCACAATCTTAATATGGTTCCAACCATTTATTTTTTTGTTCTCGATAAAAGAAAATTATTATTAAAGAGGAAAGTAGGAAGTGCAGTAGGGATGAGGATAAGGTACCCTTAAGATTTGAAAAGAAAAACTAAATCAAAACAGAATGTAACATCCTGAGTGCTGACGAGGGCGGGGAGTGATCACCGGTGCGAAAGGGCATGATGCGAAAGAGCACAGACAAGGAGGAGCGGCTCCTGGCAGGCTTCCAGCGGGGTACATGAATGAATCGAATCGACACCCGAAAGAAAGGGATTCCAAAGACTGTGCAGGTATGAGACTGCACAGTTGGGGATAACTTATAAGAATTAATTGGTACTACCTATATTAACAAGATACATCTTCTTTTCGGTAGCTCAGAACGGAAGAACTCCATAGTTAAGCGTGCTTAACTTGAAGCAATTATGGGATGGGTGACTTCTTGGGAAGTTTTCCCAGGAAATATGTGAGTAAGGATAAAGCACGCTGAAAAGTCTCGTGTTAGTGTGTGGGAATAGTCCTTGATTCTTGCAAGTTGTCGCACGTTACACAAAAGTAAATATGAAAACTAGGAATGCAACAAGGAAGCCCTAATCCTTTTATTTTAAAGCCTTTGAAGCAATTAAATGTATTTGAATTGATCAATACATAAACACTTCCTGATGACAATTTTCCCACTAGTAATGGCTGCCTAATATGACCCTTGCATCTAATCCTGTCACCTCCTTTATGCAAGATTTGATATTAATCTTCTTATTTTTATATATGTCTCTATCTTTTTTTGAAAGATGGGTAAGAGTTATGATATGAGAGTGGACCTTAAACAATGAGGATCAATTATATGCATTATTTATATAGATACTTTAACTACAGGTTTTATAAATTTATTAAATCTAGACTCAATCATCACCACATATATTCCTTAGGAGTCATGGTGATCGAGGATTAAATATTGCCCCAGACACATGAGCAAAAGAGGGAGGAGGAAAGGGGACAGAAAAAAGCATTAATATGGAAGCAAGCAGCAAGCATTGATGTCAGCAACACAACATACCTCCACCACCAATTATGGTCTTCCACAGATAGTTGAATATATGTCAAGCCAATATTGACAAGTGCAATGATCACAATGACAGTGATGAATGTGGCAAGCAAAATACTAGGAAGAGTGTATATTTTGTAGCCCCACATACTAGCATACACCTGGTGTAATTGCAGGACAATTGAACTAAAAGGCACAAGACCCCCAATAAACATTTGAAATGGAGTTCTCCTGTACCAAGCAAGCTGTTGAATCTCTCTAGAATATCTCTTTGTAGCAGAGGGGGCTTGAAATTTAGATCTAAAACGGTATCCAATCACTCCACCAAATGCAAGCAATGGGATGGCAAGAAATGTGAATAAAACAAGAATCACAACAATGGAGCCCAATGGGAGTCCAGTTGTGGTCCCATAAGATATTGCAATAATGTTGAGGATAGAGACAGCAACAAACACTGGTCCAATGTAAAGAATTCCTGCTAGACTAACACTCCTTTCCTGGAATTATAGTCAATTCACAGAATAGTTATAGGTAGTTAAAAATAAAATAAAGAAATGAAACATTTTCTTTCTTTCTTTTCTCATTGTGAAATTACATAAAGAATTACCCATCCATTCTCAGAAAACTGGCCATGGAAGGATGCTGCTGAGTGCCCAGCAAAAACTGATGAAAGAGCATATAGCAGGACAACAAAATTTAACAGTCCTCCACGATTGTAGGGATAGATGGTGTCAATAAGTGCTAGAAACAGTACGACACAAAGCCTGAAGTAAAAGGCAAATTAGTTTATATAAAAAAGAGGAACAAAGTTAAAAGTTAACAAGTTTAGTTGCAATTTTTATTCTCACATTACACAAATGAACAGTGATAATGACACAGCTGTATGATAAACTACATATATAAACCACTCTGACTGCTATTTCAGGAACTAATTTTGACAAGCATTCTGTGTATGTATAAGGGCAGAGATCAAGACTGAGAATAAAACAGATACAGCCTTTGTCAAGACAACTAAGGCTCACCGTAGAAAAATGGTTTGGATAAAATCATGATGCACAATTATTAAAAAGAAACCATGTCCATGGCAAAAATGTATTCAGCTAGTACATGAGTTGCAAGAATTAGAGTAGAAAATTATCAATGAAAGGTTGCATAAAGAAAGCTCCTTGATAACCTCCACAGGTAAATTTATTGACTTTGTAACAAGATAAGTAAACAAAGACTGGCTCCTTTAATTCAAGAATTCATACAAAGAATCAGAAGAAAGTATGACCAACACCATACACATAACCATACATGAGATTAGACAAGGAAAAGCAGAAATCAAGTGAAAGGAGAATGCTTTTGGCCTCTGCTATCACTTGATAGTCCAGGTTCAGATTGCTAAAGGATTTGATTAGGTTGGTTGATGCAGAGATGAAACTAGACATTGCACACCTTATATTGTACTCGTGAGAATGTCATGTAAAGACTAGAGGCTGAATATGTGGCTTTTGGGAATAGGCTTGACGAATATGCATTTCAAACACTAAAGTAGCTTACAAGATTAGCAATTGGGTACCCGTTCCCACAACAGCAAAAAGTAAGGATGAGTTTGAAGGAGGTCTGAATACATCGCCGTGGATGGACTTCCAACCAACCTCCTTATCTTCTTCACTTGCATTAGAATACCTAAATTGTAGATGAAAAATATTAGGCTAACAAATAAAAATAGCCAACCTAAATTCTGCTCTTATTGAACTATGAATAATGAAGAAAGTTACCTTTTCAAATCACTCTTCAGATGGCGCATATAAAGCAGGGCAAGCAAACCAATCAAAAGTAAAATGATGACAATTGAGTTAATGAATGAGAACCAATGAACTTGACGATACAAAGGCAGCAATGAAGCTCTTGAGTATTTGTCCATCCTCTGCTCAAAATGTAGTTCAGTGGCATTCCAGATAACAGAATAGGTGAATTTAACATCAATATCAACATCTTTTGTTACATCTACAGCGCGATTCGGATCACCAAATGCATTTACTTGAATGACTCGGTTCCCATTGTAAAGAACATCAAACTGAACATGTGTAAAAAGGTAATAGTTTGGACCTCCCCGACCAGGAGACCAGCTATCCTCTTCAAGTTTCCCAATGAAACCCCAGAATGGAAGATCATCCAAGTAAAACTGGAAGTAAAAGTCACGGTTTATAGCTTTTTTGAAGCTTGCAACTTGATCAATTGTAAGCTTATTTTGGCACAAGGTCTCATCAATCTTGTGCTCCCGGAACTTGAACTCATACAAAGAATTGCACAAACGATCACCATTGAGAACTTCCCCAATGGACTCTTTCTTTCTGACAATTGGGTCTGTGAAAAACACAAGCTTTTCACAATCTAAGTTGTTCCAATTCCACTGACTAATTGATTTCATTTTCAACTTCATCAGATTAAACCTAAGACTAAAAGTGACTAACCTGGGGTGCAGAATGGCAAATCATAGTACTCATACGTCTCACTGCAACAGGGAAATTATAAAAAAAAAAAAAAACAGAAACTCAATGAACATGAAAATGAGCAAAAGCAATGAGAAATTGGAATTGGAAGAATGGTGGGAAAGGAACCTGGGATTGTTGAAGGGTCCCACTTTGTTGACAAAAAATGGGACAACATTTCCAACATCGTAGAGGTGATCAGAGGGAGATGCTGCAACTGAACGAGAAGAAGATTCTACAGTGGCGCAGAGCAGAAGAAGGATAATGAGGTCATGGGGTTTAGCCATAGATGCAGAGAAGACTGAAACCAGATGCAGTGCTTTTCTAACTCTCTGAGTCAAATACACAAACACAGACACAACATTTCACACATGTTACAAGTTTGTAGACACAAACAAGCGTGTAAGATCAAACAAAATAAATCATAATTAGTTCAACTTATTAAACATTAGATAAGAAAATAGATTCATTTTAAAAAATTAAAGGCTTATGTTATGTATAGAAGCAAAACAAATATTAATCATGCATATAAAATATATAACATAATTAATATTGTCATAAATGTAAACGAATCTGTCATGTTTTGTTTTTAATATGATTATATAGTTAAAAATTTCCAATTTTTCATTGACAGATCATAAATTAATGAAAAAAAAAAATAATTGATCCATTAATTTATAAATAAATGATTAAATTTTTTAAATCATCTTAAAACATGATATGATTGAGAGAATCTATTCCTCCCATCAAGTCATTGATAATTAATAATACCAAAAAAACTTAGTAGTTTGGAGGGAAAAAATATTTTCATGTTATAAACTTTTTGGTACTCTCGCAAATTAAAGATGGGGTGGGGTTTATTTTATATTTTTTTCTTTTTTCTCTCTTTTTTAATTTGTCAGTTCATAAGCATGTCACCTTGGAGTAATATTTTCTAGAGTAAATATTTCTTTTGGTCCTCAGCAAATTTTACGATTCTCGTTTTAGTCCCTAGCAAATAAAAAGGCCCATCGTGGTCCTAGGAAATTCAAAATGGACCCACTTAGTTGAAATCGTGGTCCCTCACAAATTCAAAAAAGACCCATATTAGTCCCTAAAAAGACTAAAATGGGTCCATTTTAAATTTCTTAGAGATCACGATGAGCTTTTTTATTTGCTAGGTACTAAAGCGGGTATCGTGAAATTTGCTGATGACCAAAAAGGGTATTTACTCTATTTTCTAAGGGGGTATTTTTATTATTAAAAATATTTATTATTAATCTACTACCTATCTAATTGTTGGGCTTCCTCCTTCAATGCTAAGTCCAAGCCCATTGAGGAGTTTCCCAAAAACCCTAAACCTTAAACCCTAAATTTCACCTCTTCTATATATTCATTAGTTGAGGGTGGAGGCTAGGTCAGATTGAGAGATTAGAAATTTGAGAGAAAATTATTTGAGAGATTTGAGCAAAGCTTTATGCTTTGTATTTGAGAGATCTCTAGAGAGAGTTTGAGTGAAACATCATTGTTGGAGAGGTTGAGTTAACCACCACATTGGTGAATTTGATTCTTTGTAACCATTATTTTCATAGTGAATTTTTGAACTGGACTAGGTCCTGTGGGTTTTTACTTCTTCATCGGAGAAGGTTTTCCCACGTTAAAACTGTTTGTGTTCTCTCTCTCTCCTTCTCTCTCTCTCTCTCCTGTTTTCGTTTTTGATTTTTCACTGCGCTGCCCGACCTGGTGAAATTCAGGTCGAGGTATTGCCGAGATCAGGATCTTGTTGATTGACTTCCGCAAAAGGTTGTAGAAGTCGAGTTAGAGGGAACCGATATTTTCCCACAGTGGTATCAGAGCCCGAGTTCGACGGATTCTGAGGGAGACGAGATGGAGACCAGTGGCATAACCAATCATGGAGACATGTTCAAGCTTATCGCAGACAATTTCACATATTGGAGACCGATGATGGAAGATCATCTCTATTGCAAGTATTTATATGAGCCCATTATCCTTGGTAAGAGATCGGAAGGCAAAACCGATAAGGAGTGGGAGATTCAGAGTCGTACGGCGGTAGCTACGATCAAAAAATATATTGACAAAAGCCTCGTTGAGCACGTGTCCGAGTTCACGAACGCGTATGAGTTGTGGACGAACCTAGAGTCCATGATTCAAAAGAAGACTCCCAGGAACAAAGCACACCTGGTTCGCCGACTTGTGAAGCTTGAATACAAGGACGGTATGAGTATGATTGAACACCTCAACACCTACAAAGGTATTATGAATCAGCTGTCAAAGGCTGAGATGAAAATTGATGACGAGATGCAGGCCTTACTGCTGTTGAGCTCGCTGCCAGAAAGCTGAGATACTCTGGTGGTGACCTTGAATAATTTGACTCCAGATGGAAAATTGAAGATGGATGTCGTGACAGACAGCCTCTTGGGCGAAGAAGCCAGGAGAAGAGAACGACGTATTTCGAGCACGTCTGAGGCCAACATTGCTAAGAACAAACACTCCCGAGGTAGAAGCAAGAGACGGGGTCGAGATCGTGATAGAAGAGAAATGTCCAGAGGTCGGTCAAAGTCGAGATATGAGTTGAAGTGTTTTTACTGTGGAAAGACAGGTCATAAGAAGCCAGACTGCTGGACTTTGCAGAATGATGAGAAGAACGGCTCTGTGAAGCCGGATCAGATTATTCCCAAGAAGAGGGAAGACAAAAGCACCACTGCGGTGGCTGCCAACTCGAATGCCGAGATATTCCTCCTAGGTGAGGATAATTATTTGAATGTTGCCTATGATGACTGCACTTGGATTATTGACTCCGGTGCCTCCTTCCACGTTACTCCACACAAAGGTTTTTTCTCCTCTTACCGAGGTGGTGATTTTGGAGTCGTGAAGATGGGAAATCAAGTGACCAGCAAGATTGTTGGTGTCGGTGATGTAACTCTGACTACAGATGTCAGATGCCGACTTGTGTTGAAAGATGTAAGGCATGTTCCTGACATGCGGTTGAACCTAATCTCGGTAGGCAAGCTCGATGATGCCGGGTTAGTGAACTACTTCGGTAGTGTTAGATGGAAACTGGCCAAAGGAAACTTGGTTATGGCCCGAGGTAAGAAGGAAGGCTCCTTGTACGTGATGCAAGGAAAGATTAATGGCGGAGAAGCCAATTCTGTCCGAGATGAACCTAGCTTGGAGCTATAGCACAAGCGCCTCGGCCACATGAGCGAGAAAGGGCTCCAGATCCTGAACAAGAAAGGATTACTGACCGGGTTGAAAGGCCAAGCGTTGGAGAGTTGCACGCACTTCCTAGCTGGAAAGCAGCACCAGGTTTCTTTTGTGAGACCGGATCAACCGAACGACGCAGGTATATTCTTGACCTCGTCCATATTGATGTCTGCTTCATGTCGGAAAGATCCCTTGGAGGAGCTCAATACTTTGTCTCATTTATTGATGACCACTCTCGCAAAGTGTGGGTATATTTGTTGAAGTCTAAAGACCAGGTACTCCAATCCTTTAAAGAATTCCATGCTATGGTTAAAAGGGAGACTAGCAAGAAATTGAAGGTGGTCCGATCTGATAATGGTGGTAAGTATTGCGGCCCATTTGATGCATACTGCAGAGCGGCCGAGATTCGACTAGAGAAGACGCCCCCCAAGACTCCACAGTTGAATGGACTGGCTGAGAGGATGAACCGAACTACTGAAGAGAATGTACGAAGCATGTTATCCAATGCCGGATTGCCGAAATCATTATGGGGAGAAGTCGTCAGAACTGCTGTTGACTTGATCAATCTCTCACCATCACGGCCACTTGAAGGAGAAATTCCAGAAGAAGTCTGGACAGGTTGGAAAGCGGCCTATAATCAACTGAAGGTATTTGGATGTTGAGCTTTCGTGCATATCCCTAAAGATGAAAGGGCAAAACATGATGCGAAGACTAAAGAATGTATTTATCTTGGTTTGCCGAGATATGAGTTTGGGTTCCGACTTTGGGATCCAATCAATAAGAAGATAGTGAGAAGCCGAGATGTGATCTTTCATGAAGATGAGAACATTCATGACATCTCGAAGCCCAAAGTCCGAGTTACTGTCAGACATGAATAACCCATCCCTCCTGTCCGAGCTGAAGTAGGGGGAGAAAATCAAGAAAATGAAGAAAATGATGACCAGCAACATGCTGATGATGAGGTCCGAGTTGATGTTGAGACCTGGGATGAAAATGATGAATCGGGTTCTCAAGCTGAAGAATAGCCGAGATATCCAACTCGAGAAAGAAGACCATCTACAAGATACCCATATGATGAATACACCGTTGTTGCTGAAGACGGTGAGCCTCAGAGTTATAATGAGGCTGTGACGAGCTCAGAGAAAGAAGAGTGGGAAAAGGCAATGCAAGACGAGATGAAGTCTCTGCACGAGAATCAGACTTATGAGCTAACCAAGTTGCCTGAAGGAAGACGAGCTCTGAAAAATAAATGGGTCTACAAGATTAAGAATGAAGAGAACGGACTGAAGCCGATATATAAAGCCTGGATTGTAGTGAAAGGCTGCAATCAGAAGAAGGGTGTAGACTTTAAGGAGATTTTTTCTCCTGTGGTGAAAATGACCTCGGTTCGAACCGTGTTAGCCATGGCGGCTTCGATCGACCTCGAGGTAGAACAAATGGACGTGAAGACAGCATTCCTTCACGGTGATTTAGAAGAAGAGATATATATGGAGCAACCTGAGGGGTTTCGAGCTCCAGACCAAGAAGACTTGATATGTCGGTTGAAGAAGAGCCTCCATGGCTTGAAGCAAGCACCTCGACAGTGGTACAAGAAATTTGAATCATTTATAACTGATCACAAGTTTGAGAAGACAGAAGCCAACCACTGCGTATTTGTGAAGAGGTATGAGGCCAGAGACTTTTTGATTTTGTTGTTATATGTTGACGACATGCTTATTGTAGGGAAAGACAAATCGAGAATAGCCGCTCTGAAGAAGGCGTTGAGCTCGTCCTTCGCAATGAAGGACCTCGTCCCTGCAAAGCAGATTCTCGGAATCAAGATTATCCGAGATAGACAAAAGAAGCTACTGTGGCTGAGTCAAGAGAAGTATATTGAGAAGATTCTGAAGAGATTTAGCATGGACAAAGTCAAAACAGTAAGCACCCGCCTAGCCGGACACATAAAGCTGAACTAGAAGCAATGTCTGAGATCTGATGAAGAGAAAGATGAGATGCTGAAGGTCCCGTATCAATCTGTCGTCGGAAGCTTGATGTATGCTATGGTTTGCACTAGACCTGATTTGGCGTATGCTGTTGGAATGGTAAGCCGGTATCTGTCAAACCCCGGCAAAGAGCACTAGGAAGCAGTGAAGTGGATCTTCAAGTACCTTCGAGGAAGACCAATTTATGCCTCCGATTTAGTGAAGGCAAAGCCAAGTTGCAAGGCTACTTGGATTCTGATTTAGGGGGAGATTCCGACTCGAGAAAATCGACGACGGGATACATAATGAGATTTGCCGGAGGAGCTGTCTCTTGGCAATCAAGACTTCAGAAATGTGTTGCACTATCAACAACTGAGGCTGAGTACATTGCCGCTACTGAGGCAAGCAAAGAGATGCTGTGGATGAATAAGTTCCTCATAGAACTCGGCCATGATCAGACAAGTACGAGCTGGGTTGTGACAATCAAAGCGCAATCCATCTTGCGAAGAATTCGACTTATCACTCCCGTACTAAGCATATTGATGTGAGGTATCACTGGATCCAGGATGTGGTGGAAGGTGGAGAGATCGAACTCGTCAAAGTGCACACTGACCATAATTGGTCCGACATGATGACAAAGCCGGTTCCAGCAAGGAAATTTGAAGACTGCTGTGAAGGAGCCGAGTTGTTGCTGAAGCCGACGCATTGAAGTCAGAGGGGAGATTTGTTGGGCTTCCTCCTTCAATGCTAAGCTCAAGCCCATTGAGGGGTTTCCCAAAACCCTTAAACCTTAAACCCTAAATTCCACCTCCTCTATATATTCATTAAATGAGGGTGGAGGCTAGGTCAGATTGGGAGATTAGAAATTCGAGAGAAAATTATTTGAGAGATTTAAGCAAAGCTTTATACTTTGTATTTGAGAGATCTATAGAGAGAGTTTGAGTGAAACATCTCTAGGGAGGTTTGATTATCACCATTGTTAGAGAGGTTGAGTCAACCACCACATTGGTGAATTTGATTCTTAGTAACCATTATTTTCATAGTGGATTTTTGAACTGGACTAGGTCCCGTGGGTTTTTACTTTTCCATTGGAGAAGGTTTTCCCACATTAAAACTGTTTGTGTTCTCTCTCTCCTTCTCTCTCTTGTTTTCGTTTTTGATTTTTCGCTGCGCTGCCCGACCTGGTGAAATTCAGGCCGATGTATTGTCGAGATCCGAGATCAGGATCTTGTTGATTGACTTTCACAAATGGCTGTAGAAGCCGAGTTAGAGGGAACCAATATTTTCCAACACTAATCACTATTAAATCATATTATTTTTCTCTCAAAAAATTTTACTGCATTTTTTTCTTTGATCTAATAATAAATAGTAAGTTGGTAACAAATTTTTTAATTGTAACAATATCGTCTCGTGTTCCCCTAGTTTGGAAGTTGGATTCCAATAATATATATAAATAGGAAAAAATATTTATCTTTCTAAATGATATAACTTATGTTGTTGTACTTTCATAAAGAAATAAGACTTACATCTTTATTTTTTTTTTTGTCCACTTTTTTTTTCCTATGATCTATTTTTTTTCAATTAAAATAACATAATTTTATATCCTTAAAAATAACATACACACTTTTTTCGTATAAAAAAAAAAAGTACCTTAAAGTCTAAGGGAGCGTTTGGTTGGAGAGAAATTTTTTGAATACTGGAGAAATGTAATTACTAGGGAAGTGGTAGAAAAATAAGTTTGATAGGAAAGTTAAAAAAAGTTGTTTGGTAGGTCAAAATTTTACCGAAAATATTGACACAATTTTAGCATCAACTTTTTCATTTACCCTGCAAAATCACAATACCATCTGCTGTGTGGGATTTTTCTTTAAGAATTTGGTTTAAGATTACACACAAAATTTCCCCAGCATTTTTTTTTAAGTGCTACCAAACATGGTATTATTGAATGTCCACCCTCACTTCCCCATTCATCCTACAAAAATCCTCCAACCAAACACTAAGGGGCGTTTGTTACAAGATTTATTTTAGGATTTTCGAAAAACTGGAAGTGATAATTGTATTTATCCACGTTTGCTATAAGATATTTAAAATTTTATTGGGAATTTGATTTTTCTGGGATTTTATTTTGGTGTGTAATTTTTTTTGAAAATACCATACAGAAATACCATTCAGGGGTGGTATTCTAGGATTTCTATAGTAAGAAAAAATTTAGTACAACTAAACATAACATCAAAAAAATTAACTCAATATTCTCGAGAATATTTTGGTCTACCAAATAACTTTTTGTTAACATTTTCGAAAAAAAACTCAACTTTCGATAGTATTCTTGAAAATTCCCGAATTAAAAAAATTTGTTCTCCGCCAAACGTCCCATAAATGTAGTTTGGTTTGGTTTCAGAGAAGTGATTCTGTTTATGATATCTCTTGGTGGCGGATCTCTCACCCTTATTTACGCTCTCCTTTTTTCTCTATAACCCATTAACTAACATAAACATTAACATTCAATTCAACAATGTCAAACGTTCATTATTCCTTCTCTTTTCTTTCTACTGTTCAGGTAATCAACCACTTCTTCTCTTATCTTTCTCTATCTCGTACTTACCGTTTTGTATTTATTCTTTTATTATTATTGAAGAATCAATTTTTAATTTCAAGTTTTACCTGCTTGATTAAATCTTAATTACTTTTATTATTTTCTTGTGATTTCTCTTGCAAATTCATACAGTGAAAAGTGAAATTGATGAAAGATGTTGACCATTTTAATTTGGTGGTGATGATGTTCGTTCAAGCTTCTGGTATGATTTTTTGAGTTTTCTAATTCACTCTTGAATTGAATTGAAGGGCTTAAAATGAAGTGATTAAACAGCCTCTTTTCAAAATTATGCAACGGTAAGGCTGCGTACAAGGATTTCATTTATCTTACACTATTTAGTCGGGTTTAACGGGAAGTGATTCTTGCTTGTTGTCAAAACAACAACACACAAGACAAGAGTAGTTGATAAATATTGTGTTGTGGTGAGTGAGGGTTTTGCAAAGTTGAAAGTTGCAACATCATGGAGCAGCTTCCTGTTGAAGTGATAGGGAACATACTCTCCCATCTAAGGGCTGCACGAGATGTGGTGATAGCATCTGCAACATGCAGGAAATGGAGACAAGCATGTTGCAAACACCTTCACACACTCTCCTTCAGCTCCAATGATTGGCCTATTTACAGAGATTTGACGACTACCCGCGTCGAGATTTTGATCACACAAACCATTTTTCAGACCTCAGGGTTGCAGGCACTCTCAATATTGATGGAAGATGTGGAAGAGTTCTCGGCTTCCACTGTTATTGCTTGGCTCATGTACACCAGGAAAACTCTCAGGCAATTGTGTTATAATGTGAAGACTATGCCTAGTGTTAACATTCTTGAAATATGTGGCAGGCACAAGCTTGAAATATTAGATCTGGCTCATAATTCCATTGCTGGAGTTGAACCTAATTATCAGAGGTTCCCTTGTTTGAAATCTCTTTCCTTGAGTTATGTTAGTATATCTGCGTTGGATCTGAATCTTTTGGTATCTGCTTGTCCAAAGATTGAAGCTTTGGAACTTGTCAATCCAGAGATTGCAATGTTTGATGCACAGGTGACTGTTGAATTGAGTAGTTCAACGCTGAAGACTGTATATGTAGAAGCTATCAGTTTGGACAAGTTTGTATTGGAGGCTGATGGGATTGAGTGCTTGCATTTGAAAGATTGTGCACTTGAGGTTTTTGAACTCATTGGCAAGGGGACCTTGAAGCATTTTAAGATTGATGATGTTAGTGTTATACATCTTGATATCGGCGAGACAGTTGAGAATCTCGAGATCGTGGATATCAGCAACTTCACAATTATATGGTCAAAATTTTACCAGATGATTTCAAGATCATCGAATTTAAAGAGGCTTCGGCTTTGGGATGTGATGTTTGATGATGAGGATGAGGTTGTAGACTTAGAAACAATTGCAACTTGCTTTCCACACCTGATCCATTTATCTCTGAGTTATGATGTGAGAGATGGAGTGCTTCACTATGGTTTACAAGGTTCTTCCTATCTTGAGAATGTTGTTGTCTTGGAGCTTGGCTGGACTGTGATCAATGATCTTTTCTCCCACTGGGTTGAGGGGCTGCTTAAGCGATGCCCCAATCTCAAGAAGTTGGTCATTCACGGGGTTGTTTCAGAGGCTAAGTCTGATGAAGAATGCAAGATGTTAGCCAATTTCACCACATCCATGGTTGAGCTGATGAGGAGATATACTCATGTAGATCCACATTTTAAGTATGAATAGGATTTTGCTAAATGCCTTGTTATAGCTCAGGTTTTCTTTTAAGTCTAATTCTGTTGGCACATTTTCAGGTAACTTACAGAATTCAATAGTTTATGCACAACTTTTCACTTATTAGTTGGAATCTTTATCTAGAAGTTGTGTTGTGTGATTGACCAACAATTATTGCTCATATCAAACAGGACTTTGATCACTTCTTATCAAACAGAAAAGTCTGGAAATTTTATGCTGTCAGATGAGAACTGGGAATTTAATTCTTATTAAGATCCCTCCCCAACCCCCAACCACCCCACCACCCCCCCCCCCTAAAAAAAAAAAAAAAACAATAAAAAAAGAAAAACCAGTGCATGTTATAATCTATTTAAAAGTATACCACTAGAAATATTTTGGTCAGGAGTTTCATTTTTGTTTGTTTCTCTTCTATTTAAATCTATTTAAGGCGTGAATTGATCTAATTAATGTGCATGTTTGGATAAACCACAACGCACAAACTTACTTTTGGCTTCACTATTGGGAGGTACCAATCATGCTCGAGCCTTGACCTATGGTTTGACACTTAGATATATCTTGTCCCTGTTTATCTCACTTGTTACTCTCTCTCACACACACACAAGTTTACCCTTTCTATTCATTGGACATGTTATGGCTGTCTTTCCTTTTTGTTCTATGTGCTTTTCTCTGCAGCATCATGGACAGTTATGTGCTGGTACGTGCCGTACTTCCGTGATTTAAGCTTCCAAGTATGTGGAGAAGGCCAGAACAGCAAAGTCCTCGATGGGGTTATAGTTTTTTGTGATTTAGCTGAACTTTAGATAGCTGGTCATTTGTTCAAAGAATTAGAGTATTGATTCTGAAGCTGATATTTTAACTGTTTTTCAGTAGTGTGATGTATGTCGCATATGAAAAGCATTTTTTTCTTTCATATATATGCTGCAATTAGGGAGCAGGTTTATTATTGTGACGCATTCTGCATTCTTAGTTTCCTATGCTCTCATTGTTCCATTTTTGTGGCTGTTGGTTTGTTGATTGGGACTCGTCTGTACTTTCTGAGATGGCGACTATGATCATTCAAACCTTGAAAAACTTGCTAGAGTCGGTGTTTGGCATGATTTACACCGAATGATGAGATGGAATAAGATGGATAACTCTATATTAAGATGAATTATAGCTGGTTAATGTAAAAAGATCCTTTTAGTTTACATGGCCAACTACATTGGCAACTAACTGCCAAAAGAGCAGAGATTCGAATCCTGAAAAGAATCTTTGAGACTTCGGGATTAGTCTCATATTTGTGCGGGGGTTGAAGATATTCGAGGGATCTAACTCATTCCAAAGGAGTAATTAGGGTCATGGAATTAAAAAAAAAAAAAAAAGATTACGAGTTGCTACTGAACCAACTTGTCAATAGAGTTGGAGTGGTGATAACATGAAACTATAAAAACTTGTTTCAGCGCGTTACTCAGCCACCATGTTGATTGTTGAGGAACACAAAAACATAGATTTTCATAGTAAGTAGTAGCATTACTACTTATCAAATACTCCCTTGATTAAATAATCAAAAAGCTACTATATCCATTACACATTACAGTTTAGCAAAAGTAGCAACTTATATACAAAACTAAGTGCATCCTTAAGTGATCTTTAGGTTGCATTCTCTAATCAAGCTGGCTCAAATTGAGTAGTTAAGCCAGAAAGTACGCCTCCTGAATCCATTCGGTTGAAGAGTTACGTATTATGAACATATACACATAATACAAAAATGATTTTTAACAAAAGAGCAGCTTTCATTTGCAATTCTATGATATGCTCCTCAACTTGTAGGTTAAACCATCCTCTGTCTCAGTTAGACTTTGCAAGTAGTTTAAGATCTCAGAAAAAAAATAATTAACGTGAGATTTTTTTTTCCTCTTCTTTATGTATAACTCCTCTTACGTGCGTTAATATCTTTGTTCTAGATTATTTGTTGAAGAAAGCGATACGATGGATCTTGAATTTGATGGGGTCAACCTATTTGGAAGGCCCAACAAACCAAAACGAAAAAAAAAAAAAAAAAATTTAATGTTTCTATTTTTACCGCAGAATTTTTTTTTTTTTTTTGAGTAAGTCTCACTTTTTTATGAGTGTTGTAAACAAGAGTAGAAATATTTTTTCCTAAAAAAAAATTGATAGAAACACAAATGAAAAATATAAAAAGATGATAGCTGCGTAAATATAGAATTGGAGTTGTTAAAAGTTTAAGTGAAATAAAGTAAGTTAATAGCTTCTGTGTTGACTTTGTGCGCATGCAAAAAAGATAGGATGGTTCATGCCTTAATCATGTTGATGATATTTGTTGTATAGTTTAATTTAAAAGGTTCAACGCGCCCCAATTTTCGTTACATTCGAGCACACAACCTTATTAAACTCTGATTTTTTGTTTTATCTATTGTTAAAAGGAGGATGTCTTCTCATTATAACATTTGTACCATGAGCATGCCTTTAGTATGGACAAGTCATAATCTCCTCATGCCTTGAATTGTAATGTAATACTTTTAACAAATTTCTTAAGTAAAGATCAATTCCAGCCATTCAAAATAATTTATAAGTTCATCTGTAGATAGATATAGCTGCCACGAGTTTTCTTAGTATAAATATGGATTGTTAGAGCATGCATTGTCCATTTAAATAATGTTAATTCCCACTCAGCATCTTTGCTTGATATGGAAAATGACAATTCACCTTTGAAGAATGAAAGGCAATGGTCACACAAATTGTTCAACATTAAATATCTGTACAAAATGGTCTAGCTATCCAGAGCAAATATGTTACAAACAAACAATGTTTTTTTAGTTACTTGCTTAGACTACAAGTAATGACTTAAAATAATTGTTGAATATAATCAACAAAGGAATAATTAAATTCTAGAATTTAATTTGATCCAGACAAATTACCTCTCTGCAGACAGGGAAACAGTGGAGCTAAAAGGATTAATACTCAAGGTAATAATGCCAGATTCATGGAACAAACTGTTGCCTAAAACCTTCACAAAAACATTTCCTAGTCAAGAACATATGCTGTAAGGTATATTGGGAATAAAGGTATATATAGTTAAAATACATATTGACCTAACCTTTAGAGCGTTTATATTTTGAGCCAAACCACTTTTTTTAAGACCAATCATTGACATCATAAAAGGAATAATTGGTAGGAAGCATATTACCTATAAAAGGTATTATATGAGCACAATATTTAATATTTGATATTTGATTTTACCTTTCAATAGGGTAGATCGGGTACATGGGCTGAAAGTCTCCTTCATCTCTCTTTTTCTTTGTCTGTTCTTTATCAGCATACATATTTACATAGTATATTTATTTCTCAATAATATTGTTGTTATACTTACATTTAAAAAACCGAAATTGTCTAAATATAATGTTGTTTATTGTGATTGGAGGGTCGCAAATTCAATTTTAAAAAATAATTTCTTTGCAAAAATATAAGGGTAAAGCCTGTATATAATCGACAGTCATCTTCATTTTTGCAAATGGAAAAACCTTATACATTGGAATTTCTTTTTTATAATGCTTACTCTTAAGACACTATATGAGAGATGAGGAAAAAAAACTTAAGTAACATCTAATGATGGATTTATGATACTAATTAACAACTTAAAATTAAATTAAGTTGCAAGTAATTTCATGATTACCCTGTATACCATATTGCTCCGCAAACATATTTCTACAAGTAGAAAAGAATCTTAAAGATGGCACGGTTTTAGGTGATGACAGGGAATGGATGTTGACCTATCAACGAAGGGAATAACACCAAACAAATCCATCTCAGAGCTGGGATTAAATACAGAAAGTGGGTATGCTTGTGGAACATTATTCTAATGTTTTGGTTGAAATGGTATGTTATGATATGATGTGCAAAAATACTCACTTTATTATAGCTCTCGGTTGTAAAAAAAAAGTGAAATCCATCACCTCTTGAGTATAAAAGGATCAAGAAAATCACCTTTAGAGCTTTCACTTTTTAGTCCCTTTTTGCCATCTTTAACTAGAAAGGAAAAGAAAAAAAAGAAAGGAAAACTTGTCTCCACTTGGCCTTGCACTGAATTTAGTGTTGGCATGTAAAAAAAGTTATGACTTTTTCCTCTAAGGTACATGCAACCCTTTAGAAGCCTCCTAGGGAGAACCAATAAGAAAACACAGGCGGTTAGAGGAGAGAGAGAGTGGAGTAGGAGTCAGTGATTCTAGTGGTTTCCTGCAGAGGACCCCACCCCTAAAATTTTATTAATTTTATTAGTTTTTATTCAGTTTTTAATTTTTATTTCAGAACCCTTTCAAACCCCCACAAGCTCAGAGAGGCTGAGACATGCTTGCTAATTGCTAGGACAAGATTTGAGGTACCAAATCATGAGTTTCTCAATCTAAAGTATTTTACAACTAGAGACAGTGATAAAGCAAGCCAAATAACACACTTGTCAATCAGGTTTCTTCCTAGAGAAGGAGAAAATAAAGATAGAGACACCCCCATGAAAGATAAAATGTTGCAAAGAGAAACATATATGAGAAAAAGACCGGACCCACTTTTTGTGGCAACTTATATATTAGTTTGACAACAAAGCTTTGATCTTTCTTTGCTGTGTTAACTTGTCCCAATAGGATCCTATTTATCCTTAGAATTCCAAAGAAAAGAAAGGTAAAGACACATGACTTCCTGGTTTTCATACACACAGAATTCTATAAACACACACACACACACAGAATTCTATAAACACACACACACACACAAACACAAAGCATCAATTTTTATATTCTTCAGCTCTGGTAATCAAGTGTTTTTTTTTCTTGTGAACTGAGTTTCTACCAAATGAGAACCTTTCAGTTTCAGCTTCAGGGATGATGTGAATGGTCTTGAATAGTCTTGCATGGCGAGCCAAAGAATAGGAGAAACGGATTTGTCTGAGTCACGGCCTTCAAGTCATCATGTCCCTTATGGAGTTCTTCATGGGATTAATACCCCACCATCAAGCTTAATGTATTCTTCAATAGTTTCTCCATCTCAGTGCTATTAATACTTTAAAATAAATAAATTCTATCAGACATAATAACTGAATTCCTGAGAAGGAACTGTTATATGATGTTTCTTCATTTTATACATGACTTAAGTTTTTATGACTTTTTTTTTTTTTTTTTTGTTTCTTAGGAACCAAGGATCTGCTTTTGATTTTGGAGAGCTGGAAGAGGCAATTGTTCTACAAGGAATAAAGATAAGAAATGATGAAGCCAAAGCATGTATGTTTCCCTTTCCATGGTTTACCCTTTTCTGACGTTAGATAAGCATAACCAACTCTTGCAAAAAGCATAGAGAAGAAAGGTTTGAATATGTCTAAAGTGCTGAGTGGGAGAGTTACCATTTCCAATACCATAATGATTCTGAGGCAATACAAAATGGATGGCGTGGGGTTACAATCTTAGAAACCTTACTTCTCTTGCATGATTTTCTGACTCCATGACTGTTGAAAAAGAGGATTAGGTTCCTTTACCTTTTGATATAATTGAAAATCATAAAGTCTTTTTTTTTTTGTGATCCTCTCAGATTTTGCTTTTGTGATTCTTGCAGCTTTGTTTGCAGGCAAGCCTGCAGCTACACTGGAAATGTTCCCTTCATGGCCAATGAGATATCAGCAAACTCCAAGAGTATTAGTCTCTCTCACTTTTCCATCTTTGACCAATCCATATGTAAAGATTCTTAGAACTTAGATGTTCAATAAAATCCCAATTTTTATTTTTTCTTTTTTTTTCAAGTACTCATTTTCAAAAGTCTAATATTCTTTCTACCAACTTACAAAAATGAATTACTGTTGGTCTTGGGCATCTCAATCAAATTTTTTGATGGGTTTTTCATTTTTCAAATACAGGGAGGTTCTAATTCAGGAGGGGAAAGCTCTGATTCAGGATCAGGAATGAACACTCTATCAAGCAAAATGGAGCTCCAATTTGAAACAGAATCTCCCATGAATAAAAAGGCATCTTCTTCAGATAATCATGCTTTTGATCAGCAGCAACAACTGCTTCTTCAACAGCAACAGCAACACCAGTTTCATCAGGAGACTATAATTGATGCCTCAAGAACAGGACTATCACAGAATCAATCAGCTGCCAAATCACCACAGGAAAAGGTTCTTAAAACAACTATTGTTTCCACAGTTAATCTCTCAGTTCTCTCTTTCCATGTCCCCAAAAACTCAGGGAAAGTTTGCCTCTTTAATGCAATTATTACTGTGTTAGGCTTTCTCTCTCCCTCTTCCTTCTGTGCATATCTTCACAAAAGAACAGCACAGATCCCAACAGCTCTCAGTAAATCAAAATAACACAGAGTTTTCACTGATTCCTGAACGATTTTCTGATTAATGTCTGACATAAAATATGGGAGAGAGAAAAAGATGAACGTGACAAACTAAAAAACAAAGTGAGTATCTTTTCAGTACTTATCAACATTTCTCATGATAACAATGACCCACACCCACTTCACTGGAGTCTCCCTAGCTTGATAAAAAAGTCCTTTTTTTCTCCCCAAGTTAATTTTGTGTGTTAGAAATCCAAACCACAGTTTACACCAAAACAATGGCAGATAAAGATGCTTTTTTCTACCCATATCATATTGATGATTCCATGACTACTCAAGAGAAATGGCCCAATAAGGGGTGTCTGCATTCAGAAATGCTTCCCAGAAATTTTGTGAGCACTATTAACATTCATATTATCTTCCATTCTTGGGTCAAAGCATAGCATCTTTATGAGCTTTGCTTTAACCAACCTCAAAGCTAGGATGAATTTGAAGTAATGTTAAACAAGTTTCTTCATTTCCCTCTCTGATTTATTCAGTAGCTAGAAAGCTACAGCTATGGTTACATTTTTTTTTTTTGGGTTTTCTAGTCCCTATTTTCTGTCCTCTCCCTTATGAAATCATCTCTTTCTTTCTTCTCCTTTTTTTTCTTTTAAAGAAAGTAAATTTTGGGTTCTTTATGTTGCAGAGGAAGGGAACTGGTTCTGGTTCCACATCAGAGAAGCCACTTGATGCAAAGGTTTTGAACATGACAAACACTGAAAACACACACACACACACGAATATTTATAATATATATTATATTCAAAAGTATCCTTATTCTTTGTTTTTACATCATGGGGAAGCAAGTCAAGATTTTCTTGTTTGGTTTGGCTTTCAGACACTGAGACGTTTAGCTCAAAACAGAGAAGCTGCAAGGAAAAGCCGTCTCAGGAAAAAGGTATGTCCCATCACATATTCTACCGTACAATTACAAATTACAATTAGTTGATTAGAAATATCATATATTATAATAAAAAATGGAACCTCAAATACACTTTATAAATGTGGTAATGCATTTTTCTTCACTATATTGGAACAGGCTTATGTGCAGCAACTAGAATCAAGTAGATTAAAGCTCACCCACCTAGAACAAGATCTTCAAAGAGCACGCTCTCAGGTTCTCTCTCACTCTCTCTAAAATATACGGGTTTATTTTCTCTAATATACATGAGATAATTTTATTTTTTACATATAAAAACAAAATATGAAATTTATATTTTTTCTTTTCTTTTCTTTTCACACGAGTCTACATATATTTTTATGTGGGTGTAAAAGATAATTTTATCTCCTGTAACATGTGAGACATCAAACCCATAATATAATGTACGTCTCTAATTTTATTTTATTTTATTTTTATTTATTTAATAGGGACTGTTGGGTTGTGGTGGTGCTGGTGGAAATATGAGCTCAGGTGAGTTTGGTTGTTCTTTTTGTTGGTTTTCAAAATGCAGTTACATTTTCTAATACCTCAAAAGAAAAGTAAGAAGAGGTCGGTGATGCCATAATTTTCTGACGCATATGTTATGAAATGATTATGGAGCATCGAAAAACTTGGTATAATTAATGAATACCAGGAAGATTTTGTTGTGGTAATCTTTTGACTCTTTTTTGTACTTTAGAAAATGGAACATGAAACAGAAGAAATGAGAGAGTCCTATAGAGTACTTGATATTATTTACACGTTACTTCTTTTTATGCAGTTGAATCTTTTAATTGAAACCAAAAATATAAGTCAAATCTTGATTTTGAAAGCCCATTTCAAAATCTAGAATAATTAAGCCGGTAAAGTCTCTCTTTGAGTCTTTGACCAAAATCTGAGGCCTAATATGTGTTTGAATCCACATAATAAAATCGGCTAGATAAAAAAAAAATTAAAAAAATTAAAAAAACTATATAAGGACTATTATTCAAATAAGATCGTGCTAATATATTAAAATGAAATGAATATATAACGCTGTGTGACCCTTTCTAAACATTAATATACATAAAAGCTAGTTTATATAATATGCTTTAACTTTTCTGCGAATTATTGATCCATGATGACTGCTTTTATCCACTTTAAGTAAAATGACACGCTTTGAAGATAGAAGCAAAAAAAAGTTTAGAACAAAATAGTAATAATATCCCGAGAAAAAAGCACTTTTAAGAATAATCCATTGCTTAAAATGGTGCTATAGGTTTATTTCATTACTGACCATATCTGCATTGGTTACCAAACCAACCAACATCTTAATTTTAATACTAAAAATACCATTATATTATATTGACCAAAATAATATCATCATATCATATAATAGTAATATCATTATCAATAATTAGGAACTAGTAACAAGTGGAACATGGTGTTGTTGTAGGAGCTGCAATGTTTGACATGGAGTATGCAAGGTGGTTAGAAGATGACCACCGGCACATGGCGGAGCTCCGGACGGGGCTGCAGGCGCCGCTATCGGACAGTGAACTGAGAGTGATGGTGGACGGATATCTGACTCATTATGATGAGGTTTTCCGGCTGAAGGAGGTGGCTGCTAGATCAGATGTGTTTCACCTTATTAATGGCATGTGGACTTCACCAGCTGAGCGATGCTTCCTATGGATTGCTGGTTTTAGACCCTCAGAGCTCATCACAGTATGTATTACCTTTGCTTTTTTTTTTTTATGCCTTAATTAATAAGAGTTATCTTCACCTTGGCCAATATAAAAAATAAGTTAACAAGTGTAATACACTAAAATTTATTGATGGATATATCTTTATTTGCTCACTTTAAAATTAACTTTATTTTAAAATTTTATTTCATAAAATAATAATACTAATGTTTTGCTAATTATTCCATCATATCATAAAATAATAATAGTAATGTTTTGCTAAATGAGTGTACTTCTTGGAATATATAGTGTATTTGTAAATAAAATGTTTGTAAATTAATCTTCCATTCTTCCATCTCTCTCTCTTTATATATATAGGGAAAGATTCATTTACAAATTTTTTTTTCAAATTTTTGCAAATTATACTATGTACTCCCGGAAGTATATAGTGTAATCTAGTGTAGTTTGTAAGAATTTGTAAATAAAAAATTTATAAATATAATCCTCCCCTATATATATATATATATATATATATATATATATGAGACTTGATTTTTCATGTTGCATGAGAAAACAAATCCTTCCTACACATATCATAAAAATGTGTATCACTCTCTTTTTTGTTTATTATTTTTCTAAAATAAGTGGATCTCACACTTAATGTATCTATAATATGAGATTAGGATTTTTCTACAACATTTGCTTTATTTACATATATATATAGGCTTTAATGTTTCTAAAGTGAATGTAGATAAGTTATCTACATTCGCTCCCAAAATTACGTCATTTTGAATTGAAAAATTAAAAAATTATAATGAAAAAAACTATTATAACCCTAAAATAAATTATAATTACAAAAATACTTTGATTTTCACTACAAAATAACGTCGTTTTGGGTTCAATGTAGATAAGTTATCTACTGTAGAAAAAACGAATCCATATATATATATATATTATATATATATATATATGTGTGTGTACGTTGTGTGTGTGTTTTTTTTTTTCATGAAATTATTGTTTTTTTTTTGCCAGATGTTGGTACAACAATTGGAGCCTTTAGCGGAGCAGCAAATAATGGGTATATATGGGCTCAGGCACTCATCACAGCAAGCAGAAGAGGCTCTATCTCAAGGCCTTGAACAGCTCCACCACTCTCTGGTTGAAACCATCGCCGGCGGTCCCGTCGTTGACGGTGTCCAACAGATGGTCCTCGCCATGAGCAAGCTTGCCAACCTTGAAGGATTCGTCCGTCAGGTAAAAATGTTAAATCTATGTTCAAATATATAATTATATATATATATATATCGTATGTTTTAATATATTTTAGATAATATGAAACGAAAAAAAAATTACATTTATTTTTTTTTTAGGAAAAAATGTCATATTATTGAATTGATTGATCACATTATCTTATAGGACAATACTTTTCTTATGCCTTAGAGCTAAAGTAATACTTTTTTTTAGCACACTATTAGGTGGGGGAGGTTGACGTAAAGCCTCGGTGACATGTGTCAAAATTATTTGTAGCGCAATTTCTATTTGACTAATATTTTGATAGGAGAGATAGCCTTTTCATATGTTAATGTCAAGATTGAATTTGAATTAATACATGACTTATCCATCCCTAAGTTCTAGCTTTCGAATATCAATTGGTTCTAGAAATTGTGTTTGCAAATGGATTGAAAACCATTCAATAATTTATTTATTTTTTGACTTGAAACTTTTTTAAGGATCATCCCATAAACATGCATATGCTAACTTGGCTCTACATGAATGACTCAAATTAATTCCAAAATCTTATACGGATAAATATATGACACATAATTAGCAATAGCTGGAATGTTACTTTCTAGTCCATTTTGTTTCTTTTGCTTATTCATCCGTTCTATGCATATTTTGCGCCGCAATTCTGCATTGTCTTTTACCAGAAAATTAAATAGAGTATCCTTAGTACTTTAGTTCATTACAATCTTGCTACTAAGGTGCATGCATGTTCATCAAAATGTTAAGTGCCAGACTGCCAGGGATTTGATGTAGTTTTCCCATCTTAAAATGTTTCAATCAGAAGTTGGTTTTAGACAATGATGGCTGGATATTTAAGCATAAACCCTAGGTAGACTTATAATCATCAATAATTTAAAAGTCAAATTCACAAATGATTTCTAATTAATTATATTCAAGTTTTATAAAAGAAAAAGAAGATATATTAGTTTAGTCTATTAGAATCAGTCTAAGTTCATAGATAAGACAAGTTAATCAGTTTCAACCCCTTTGAAAGCATGGTACACTTGTCCACACGTGCTCCTACATTAGGGACCAGTCTCATAAGGTAGTTGGGGTTTGATTCTACTTTATATATATATATATATATATATATCATTCAATATGAGATAAATCAAATTCCTACACACACATAACAAAGATGAATCTCACCTCTATTTTGCTTCTCTCCAATTATTTGTGGGTCCCCTTTATAATTTTGTTTCACTAACATAAGATAACTCATTTCAAAAAACATAAGGAGAAAATATCATACTAGTGACTTACTCATAGTATAAGTGGGGTGATAATACAAAATAGTCGAGAAAAAAATTTCAAGGTGGGACCCACTTATGCAATGAGTCACTAGTAGGAGAAAAATTTTCTCCTCTAAAAGGAGAAAATATATATATATATATATATATATATATATATATATATAGGGATTTACATTTATACAGTTGTTGTACGTGCAGCAATCAAATATTTGTCATATATATACTTGAAAGCATTAAATACGGAGAATCATAACCATACAAAGGATGAAAACATTAAATGTGGAGAATCATAACCATACACTTGTCGTTGCTGTACGTAAAGCGGCTATATATATATATATATATATATATAGGGGGTTAACATTTCTGCAGTTATTGTACGTGCAGCAATCAAATATTTGCCATATATATACTTGAAAGCATTAAATACAGGGAATCATAACCATACAAAGGATGAAAACATTAAATGTGGGGAATCATAACCATATATGTCGTTGTTGTACGTAAAGCGGCTGCAGAAATATTTTACCATATATATATATATATAATGAATTAAATATCATACTCTACTCTAACTCGATTGTTTTATCTATTATCTTTCTTCTCACTGAATCATTAATGTTTCTTATGAATTGAAGGCTGATAATTTGAGGCAGCAAACTCTTCACCAATTATGTCGATTACTTACAATTCGTCAAGCAGCACGATGTTTCCTTGTGATTGGAGAGTATCATGGCCGTCTTCGAGCCCTTAGTTCTCTTTGGGCATCAAGACCAAGAGAGTAAGATCTAACATCATCTAAAATATATATAATGGAAGGATACGAAGTCTTAGTTCTCATCTCAACCGTTTATCTTCGTATATATGAAATTTGTAATTTATTAAATATACCCATTAATTAATTTCTAATTCCTAATAAATTAAAATTCTGAGATGCACGAAGACAAATGATTGAGATGAAAAGTAAAAAATTTTATTCTTATACTATAATCAAAAGATCTCTCCTCATATGTATGTGTGAAAAGTTATACTTATAATTTTTTTGTCTACAAATTCTTACAAACTCAACTATGTATTTTAAGAAATACATTCAATCACATATATATTTTTAGGAGTACATAGTTAATGTGGTAAGAGTTTGTAAAAAATAAAATAAAATTGTAAACTTAACCTGTATACGTGCTTTCAAGTTTCAACAACAAAGCTTATATAGCTGTAACTTTTAATATGCTCCATTTGAGAATATTAAAAAATAAATAAGTGATATTGATTTCCTTTGGTGCAATAGGACCTTCATCAGTGATGATAACTCATGCCAAACAACCACGGAATTGCAAATGGTTCATCCTTCACAGAATCATTTCTCAAGTTTCTGAAATATATGTAATCATCGAAACTAATAGCTGCTGCTGCAAGTGGATTTCTTTGGGCTGCTTTAGAAGGAAAGGGTGTCATCAGCTTCATCAGGAATATATATATATTTATTTATTTTTCTTTTTTCAATCTTCTACCCCCTTGTGTCTCTCTATGTTTTATTGTAAATGGAATAGAGTTTTATGTGAATGATGAGGAAGCTTCTACTTTAGCTAAAAAAATAGAGGATATTGATGATAAAAATACATATAGGACATGTGAGATGTAATGTTATCTACTACCTAGTTAGTTGCTTCTTTTTCTTTCACACACACCATATTTTAATTAATTAGTGGCTTTAGAAATATACAAAGCGGTGCCACAAATTGGGGGGAAGAGATAGAGGGGGAGGTTGAGGTTGTTACATTGCATTAATACTTAGTGGATATATGTGGTTGCAAGTGGAGTATTCTATAATGCAGAGGAGACAAATAAAAAGAAGAGGATATGAACTAAGAACATTGTCTTGTTATGGTGGTTGATGCACAATCTGCGTAGCGCTGAGGTTGTGTTTCTTGAAGTGGTTGCTAATAGGATTAATTTATTTATACAGAAAGAAGATAGAGGGAATTGCGCGTTTATGTCTTTGCTGGCATGTGCATGCCTACTTTTGTGTGCTGAAAATGAGAATGGTCGGTTAATTTGTTTGCTTTTGTTGAACACTGGAGAAAACGAAAGACGGTAATTTATATCTGAGACAAGTGCATGTATATGGCTCAGTCTCAGAATTGTGCATGTATGACAACATAAATAGTTTTACTGTATTTAGACTTATTTTTATGCTCATCACCGATTTTCTTATAGGGTTCGCCACTTCTACAGCAAATGAGAAATTTTGCAGTAAACATTTATATTAGGATTCGCATGCAGATCCTGACATTTAAAAAAAAACTAAAATGCACATGCAGATCCTGATTTTCTATGTGTTGCTGCAAAATTTATCATCATCTGCCACAACACATAAGAAGTATTAAAGCTTTTATTATGTCTCTTTGACATTAGACTTTTTTTCTTCTCTAGTTTCATTATATATATATATATATATATATATATATATATATATATATATATATATATATATATATATATATATGGGAAAATCTTTTGACTCTGATATAGGAGTTAGAAGTCTTACTCTCCATCTTAACAGTTGATTTTCGTCCATCTAAGATTATAGTTTATTGAGTTATACTAATTAATTAATTATTAACTTCAAATAAATAACAATCGTTAGATGGGCAGAAATCAACGACTTAGATGGGGAATAAGACTTCTAAGTCTTATACTGGAGTCAATATATATATATATATATATATATATATATATATATATATATGAGGTAGGATCCTTTGACACCAGTGTCAAATTTAAAATTTGACACCTCATCTGAGAGCCGTTAGATCAAAAAATATCAACGGCTCTGATTTGTAAGCATGTGACACCATTGATATTTTTTGATCTAACGGCTCTCAGATGAGGTGTCAAATTTCAAATTTGACACCGGTGTCAAAGGATCCTACCTCTATATATATATATATATATATATATATATATATATATATCAAAAAAATATTTCGACAGTTAATGCAGATAAATTAGCTGCATTTATTATCAAAACGACGTCGTTTTGGGAATGAAATATTAAAAAATTATAATTATAAAGACTATAATAACCCTGAAATAAATTAAAATTACAAAAATACCATGATTTCCACCTCAAAACGACGTCGTATTGGGTTTACTGCAAATAACTTATCTGCAGTAGTTATCTGCAGAAAAAGCGAGCCATATATATATATAAGGTTTACATTTCTGCAGTTGTTGTACGTGCAACAATCAAATATTTGCTATATATATACTTGAAAGCATTAAATGCGGAAAATCATAACCATACAAAGGATGAAAGCAATAAATGTGAGGAATCATAACCATACATCTGTCGTTGTTGTATGTAAAGCGACTGCAAAAATAATTTTACCTATATATATATATATATATATATATATATATTAGCTAATGTATAGTGACTGCACCTAAGGATTGGTGCAGTCATATAAAATTACATCATTTTATAGTGTGAAAGTATTAAATGTGGAAAATCATAATCATACAAAAGTGAAAATAAATATAAAACATTAAATATCGGGAATCATAACCTTACAGAGAGTGTTGTTAAACCCGACCCGGTCGGGGTACTGGGTCACTGGGTTACTGGTCGGACCGGTGGGTCACTGGTCGGACCGGTTGACCCGGATATATCGATATATAAAAATATATATAAATATGAACATATAAATTCAATTATATTCTCTGTATCTAAAATGAATATGAACATATAAATTCAATTATATTCTCTGTATCTAAAATGAATTAAACAAGATTCACTAAATAAGCTAAAAAACATGAAGCATAAATAAATAAAAATACATGCTATTACTATGTCAATCTAAATTGCTACTTAGAATCCCCATAAACATATCTCTCAATGACATTGAATTCATATTTTTCAAATTTAACTACATTAAAATGACATAATTCACATTCTCTAATTTATTATTTCACAAATTGCTTCAGTATTGAAAATTAAGAGGTCATTATAGAAGAGTATACTAGCAAATAAAATTACAAAAAGTTTTTAAAATGAGTTTTACATTTTTTTTTATAAGATGAAACAGTTTTGGTGTTTATTTTTTATTTTATTTTAAAAATGCATGACTCGACCGGGTCACTAGGTTTGGTCGGATTTGCCCGGATTTTGATTGAATTTGACCACCGAGTTGATGCATGACCGGTCCAATGCTTGACCCGAACCGATCTGATGACCGGTTCACCGGGTTCTGGGTCGACCTAGCCGGGTCGGGCCGAATTTTACAACAGTGCTTACAAATATGAAAATAAATACAATATTTTTATTTTTACAATTAATTTTGAATGCAAACTTCCTTTATCCCAGTTAAAATGACATAATTTTTTTTTTTTTTTGGTACATTGCCAGGAGGTATCCCCATTCAACCTTCTCTGGGCACCATGCCCTCGGGGTATGGCCCGTTTGGGCTAGCCCCTCATTGTAACAGTGCGTGCACTAAGCTTTGCAAGGATGAGACTAATCCCCCAACCGAAGATTTTTCGGCTTATCCTCTGGCCCCCAAAGATTTTCCAAGAAACTGCTTGAAGCAGGGTTTGATCCCTGCACCAAGCAATCCCTTGAGAGCTCAGCTGCCAACTGAGCTACCTTGGGGGTTAAATGACATAATTTTTAATTAACTGCCTTATGTGCAGTCACATTATAATTCATTTTGCAATGTAAAGAGTGACAAATCACGCATACCACTATATATGTGTCATAAGCAGTGATGTTTAGCTCATCAAATGCTAAGGTTGGTGACCAAATATAGCAAACAATAACATGCTACATCATTCGGTTTAGAGTCCTCAGTAAAGAGAGGACTTAGCTCTGGTGTCTGGCTTAATGATAGTTATAGTAGAAGAGCTTGTCTATATATATATTTTATTTATTTATTTATTTATTTTAGGAAAGCCTTTTAGTTAAACATGAATAACTAGTTGTACGAGCACAATTTTAGTGCTCTCATAATATGTACTCGCTTACCTAAAGTAATAAAAAGTGGAACTCATATGTCATCAATCATGAAAGAGGAAAAAATAAATAGTATTAGGTGAGGTACTTTTTTTCTTTTTAGTAAATAATGTATGGAGTGCTTGATACTCATGTATGATGCCAAAAACATATAAAAAGATGGCTAAACAAAAGGTTAAGATTCTTTATTCTCAATTATAATTATCAAAATAACAAATATTTAACTCCTATAATAAGAGTCTTGAATACTCTTTTATAGACTAATTACAAATCAATTTAAAATTTTAAAATACTGGAAATAAGTAAAATTCCTAAAAATAAATATAAGGATAGCTATCTCCTAAAAATTAAAAAATTATAAAAATAAAGATAATTATTTATAATTAAATCATTTAAAACACATCTCAAATCTTATATCTCAAATCACTTTAAATTTGTTGTTTTTCTCTTTTTGCCGACTAGATTACAATCAAATATGATGTTTCATCTGGACTTGAATTTGATTATAATCTGTTAAATTTTAAATTATTGCTTCTTTGAACATGCAAATCATGTTTAATGGGCCATAATTCAATTTGCTTCCAAATTTCTCAAATTAATTCATTAATTAGTTGGGTCATGTGCAATGAACCAACTATAAGTACATCACTGTAATATTTCAAATATTTTCTAGTAGAACAAAGAATTTTCTATTAAATCTCTCTATAAATTTGAAGTATTTAAATTTCGTCTAATTAAAGTGTGGGGAACATTTTGAGAGGGAGATTGGAAAGAGAGGTGTTGCCTTAGTGCTGACACAAATAGCAAATTCGTACATATTGGCATTGTTCAATTTACACTACATTTTGCATTTTGCATTGTACATAGGCATAGCCTACTAGCCTGTCTCTATTGTCCTCTCTCTTTGCATCTGAAAAAATTTAACAGCTGGAAGGTAAATGCTTTCGCTATTCATTGTGCATGCATGTGGGAAAACATGCACGCGATTTAGACTTTTCAGTCCTCATGAAGATAGAGTGCTGGTGTACGTGTGTGTGGAATAAGACTATACATAACTGATAACACATTAATTACATGCCTGTTAATTAAGTACTTGAAGCACTACTGTTGGTGCACATGCATCTCAGAACAAATTATGTTCGAGGTGGAATTTTTGTGCATATTGACCTCAACTTATGGTCATGAATTACTCGTCAACTTGGTAAAACAAACAATTTAATTGTAAGATCAAATAAGCAGATGTTTAAGATTAAAAAATCCATTTAATCTGTATATATAGTTAACAAATTTAGTTTACTATATATAAGTTAAAAAATAGAGAGGATCATCAGTTACTGACACTTAACCTTAATTTGATGTATATACTGCAACCATTAAACAAAACATTTAGAGTGCATTTTGTCTGCTAGATTGGATTATATTCGTTGGGAATGTATTTTCTTATGTGTCAGTTTAAGATCACCAGTCATGTGAGAAATTTTAACTTAATGACAAAGCTCATTAAATGAAAAAGAGGAAGGGTTATTTTAATTGTTGACCATAAAGAATCATAGGAATGTTATATAAAGAATGAGAAATTATCTTTTAATGTCTCATTTTAACATAACCACTTTATGTAAAAAGAATCTTAGTCATTTATTAAAAGATTAATGATCAAATTAAAATAATTATTTTTTTCTTTTCTATTTTACAAACTTTGTCATTAAACTTGTGACTATATATAATCTGTCAATGAAAGACTGAAATTTCTCATATGGTGTGGTCTTATTAAAATAAGAATTTAGAGAATCCATTCTCATCTTTATAATCCATGTCTTATTGAATTAGCACTTACCATCTTCATATTCGATCTTTAAGAATTTCCAGCAACCTACAATTGGGTGTAGGATTAATGGAAATTGGTTGACATGCATGCTCTAGAAGAAGATTGGTTAGGCTAATATTTTACTTGTAATGATGGCTCTATCATGATAATTTATTTATTATTTTTTATAGTTCTATTACTTTTGTCCACTACTTTTGAATCAATTATGAGCAATAGGGATTAAATTTTTAAGAAGGAAGGCAATACGGGTCATTATCGGCGTGCTTTATATATTAACCGTCCAATCTTGATGAGATTGCAATATACAACTTTATTTTCTTCTACTTAGTTTAATGCATACGTCCCTTTAGATTAGGTATTAATTTATAGCAGAGTAATGTTGCTTTTGTCATTACATATAGTGTATGAGATTTTGAGAGTGGGGACCGAATTAAAGTGTTGAACTATTGGTTTCAAATAGTTAACTAAAGAACTTCTATTCGATAATATTAAAATGAAAGAAGATTTTCCGGTTTAAATTCCTAAAATGGCCTTACTTTATGTGACTATGTTATCTGTTAGAGCTACAAAAGAAAATTAAACGAGTCCTCTTGCTTCTTCCCTTATAGATACAATATAGATATTCATATAATGAACTTGACGTAGGTATAAGTTAGGTTGACCATAGTTTTGTCGAATGCTAGAAATCTTGAATAGGTAATTGTTAAGGCCATCAACTACTAACTTTTGTTTTTGGTTTATATATATGTAAGTGATGAAGATGTGAGAAAGGGGATACTAACTCTAATATAACTCATTTTTATTTTTAGTTTTTAGTTTTTTTTTTCTAATACTCTTGGCTTACTCTTTTGCCTTACTCATACTCATTCTCTTAACTTACATGACAAACACAAACACAAGGTTATTTAGAGGTAGGTACATGACAACATTTACAATAAACTTGACTCCAAAATATCAAATATACCTATTAACTAAGTAGTAATATGAATAAACGTTTAAAACGTTAAATACAAAAACATAAATAATAATATTTTTTTGATATAATTTGAAGGTATCTTCATTCAACCTCCTCCGGTCACTTTGCCCTTAGAGTACGACCCCGGAAGCTATCCCCTAATTGGAATAGCGAGTGCGTTGAGTTTCGCCACCAGAGAAACAATGAGACTCCCTCATTCGAGGAGAAAGACACGTCCTCTGATCTCCAAAAATTTTCCAAAAATTTACTTAGAGATAGAGTTTGAACCCTAACTCAAGCAAACCCTAAAATAATGAATAGTCTTAACAACGACTACTTAAGCTTACCAACCATTTTCAAGAGACATCCTCACATGCCTTGTTTTCACACCTAAATTAAAATGATAATTTTTACTTCCTCCTTTTACGAACTTCTCTATTAAAATTATAACTATTGATTTGTAAATAAATGATCGAGATCTTCCACATGATCATATAAAAACATAATATGAGATAATTCATTCAGCATGCATGAGGGCCAATCAAAGAGGACCAAATCTATGATGGTACTGTTCTTGAGTGGATACCGATCTAATCGTTTAGTAATATTGTAACTCATGCGGTCAACCCTTAATTAGTCAATAAATTAGTAACAAAAAAGTCAGAATTGGCCTAGTCTCATGTCATTTTGTCATGAGGAGCTTTCTTCATTGTATTATAAATATGAAATAATATCATGCCAGCCTTTCACGGTTGAACACTCATTTTACAACTATATATATCCTAACAAAGGGAACATATAATCTCCGATAAAACAAATGAAAAGCTAGCTGAAAATGAACCCCGCCAATAAAAAATGATTCTTTTGAGTAAAATTAAGATGACTACGAGACAAAGGACTATAATAATTGAGTTGATTTGACTCGTTCTCTCATCATTAATTGTTTACATGATAATTGAAAATAGAGAAAAAGGTGTGTCATTTTAAATGACACTCCTTATATCATTTCACTCTTATAAAGAAGTGGGATCCACACTTTTAAAAAATTTCTTATACATTCTCTCTCATGATTTATCTTTTTTCTCTCATTTAAATGATATAACTTTGTGTCCTTTAAAATAATATACAATTTTTCTATAAAATATAGAATAATGCTTCCTTTTTGCTTACTCGATGAGTGATTGAATATGCTTCGAGCAAATGGAAAGGAAAAGAAAGCAACAGAAGAGAGTGCAGACAGCGCATTCAAGAGTCTTCTCATGCCATTATCAGTGGAAATCTTATATTACATTTTAGGGTTAAACACTTGAGAAGTGTTTTTTCATGACTTAATTAGTGGTAAGTCCCACATTTATTAAAAAAAAGAAAATTTATACACAAATCGAAAAATCACAACATGTGAAATCACTCCTCATACAACATAAGAAGTATTTTTCCCTATATTTTATAACCACAACAGAGAGTCTTTGTTGTCAATGAGTGATATCATTATCATGCTTTCCATACGTCGTGAAATATATATATCAATCTCCTAATTTTTATTTCCCCCATATGATGATAGAATAAATCACTAAGTTCAAAGCCAGAAAACTTAATTAAAATTCAATTCTCCAATTATTTAGGAGAAAATAATTAACATTGTGTATGCGGAAGCGATTTAAGACCTAGTATATTGGAATGCTTACCGAATTGTAGGAACTATTGGATTTATGCGGAAGAGATTTAAGACCTAGTACATTTGTACGCTTACCGAATCATCTTCGTCTCACATTTACCTCTTGACACGCAGATCTTCGTAGAATCACCTTGTGTATGATTTCCCTTTAGGAACTATTCTCCTTTGCGTCACAGCACGAACTCACGTACTGTTCTCTTCAGCATCATAACACGAACATATTTCTCTAGCTCGAATAGATCTCTATGCTCTATGGTAAACCTTCCAAGCTATCTCTCGAGGAAAAAAGGAAAGTGTGTGGACACATTTTCAGATTTGAGCTTGCCTCTTTTGTTTAATGACCTCAGAGGCTGATGACTTAAGTAATAGTATTTATAAGGGTTCCAAGAAACTCTAGCTCTAAGCTCATTGGACTTTAGATTTTTTGGACTCTTTTCATACTCTTGGCCCATTTGAACTTTAGTAGAAGAGCGTAAACACAACAACAGTTGAGAAGAACATTATTACATTTTAAGTTGCATTCATAGCTGAGATCACAACTCTACCATCGCATACATTCCCCTCCTCATACTTTCAAAATGGAGTGTAGCAAGGATGTTACCACCTTATCTAGCTTTGTTGAACATTGACTTTCTCTTCAAGCTAAATTCGGAGTAAGAAGTTATTAGGATTCAGATTTTGGAAAAGGAAAAACCTGCCTACCCTTTCCGGAGTGTTTTACACCCTTCAGTCTTAAAGGTAGAAAAGAGTTGTCTGGCATTCATGCATGCTGGATATCAAACCCAACGTTGGATCCACTAATAAACATGGTTCTTCATCCACCTCTTCTAGATATATATATAAGTATAACGCTAGTGTAGTCATTGTAAGATATCTTACTCAGCCCCTCCTAGTAAGGCCTCTGATGAAAATCTTGCTCTTAGAAAAGATTCAATAAGATCTTTGGCACTTGTTCTCTTCGTTATGATTTGTAAGAATATATGCTCTCAATTTTTATTTTTATTTTGCTTTTTGCATTGGTTCTAGTAAATCATGGGTTTTGACTTTGGTGCAACCGACCATATGATATGTTAGTCTTAACAATTTTTTGTCATATTGCCGAAGGATCTACATCAGTTGTGGGTTCTGATCGAAAATGTGTTTCAAGTTTCCAAAGTACTCTTACCAATTTTAAACCCATTCATAAATTTACTAGAGATTTAAATTGTGACATCGACATTCTTTTCTACTCATTATGTCTTTTTAAGATGTTTGTAAGAAGAGAACGATTGGAGTTGCTAAGAAACACGATAGATTATAATATCTACTCCACTACAATATTGAAGGTGGTACTACGTACTAGTCAGCAATTGATGTCCTGTCATGAGTCTATTTGTGGGTGTCTTTTCTCTACAATTTGGCTCCAACATAAACATCTCGGCATCCTTTTTAGTCCTCTTAAAATTGTGTTGAACAACTTTCCCTTCATCTTATTTATTTGATATTTGGAGACCAACAAAAATGACTAATGTCTCTACTACTAAAGGGTTTTGATTGTATTCGGTTAACCTGAATTTTTCTTATGAAAAACAAGTTTGAAGTGTCTCAGTTGTTTACTCAAATCCATCATATAGTTTAGAGACAATTTGAAAAAAAATATATTAAAATGACCTTATTAGTGAGCTCAGATATATTGAAAAATTATGTAACTACTACAGATTTATTTTTCTCTTTAATTTAACTATGATAGAATACATTACTCAAAAGTTATAGATGTGATTTACTCCTTATTTACATTCTTAGAATTACCTCTTCATTAAAAAAAATAATTATTCACATTAATATGTGTATTGTCAACATTACATAAACATTCATGTAAATAATATTCATATTCAAATTTCAACTCCATACTTGGGATCCTTTGATTAAATGAATGACATGGCTTCAATCTCAATATTATGAAATAACATCTCATAAAAAGCCATTCCTAAAAGACTTCAGCGCAGCAGATTCAAGAAGCTGAACATCTGTTCCATTGCTAAGTACAATCAATATGGACATATTGTATCATGGAGAGAAGAAAGGGAACTCGAAGCAATTTCATGAAATCCAGGAAAGTAGCAGATCTTTTGAACAACTTCCACTATACAACTTTCTACAAAAATATTAAATTGCGATCCTAAAGCCCCTCCACCTTCTCTCTTGGTTTACCCTACAATTGGCTCAAAATTCTTGTCCCAACAACCAAAACTTCTACCTCCCTAGAAACCCAAGTAACATCAAGATCTTGATGCCCACTAGGTTCACTGCATACATACAAATTATCCTCCAGATATAATACGTGTAATTGGTAGAGTCCATAGTTATATCCCTTCACATGATCATATTTAACTCTGATAGGTCATCCATTGGTATTTCAAGGCCTATAGAATCATGGTCTTGTAGACCATCTTCATCAAAGTTAAACCAAGAACTAAGATCTTGAGGCCCACCAAGTTCACCAGATACACCAAATTCTTCTATTGAACTTAAATCCTGTAGCTTCAAATTCCCAAAGTCAGCGGATTCCTTCACTTGAGAAGTGTCCTGGTTATCAGATAATGTTGCCCCATCTTTGCTACCATTATTGCTTGCGTCAGCCACAGAAAGACTAGAGCCATGAATTGGTAAACAAGCAGATTCCTTTGCTTCCATAAACCTATCATGTCCACTAGCGGTACTCTTTTGCTTGGGCTTAGCTTTTGGTTTGTTCTCATTTTGGCTACTGTCCAACGGCAGGCGTCCAGCTCTGGAAATAGAATTTTGTCTGGTCTGATCCCGGCTCTGATTCCTCTCTCTCTCACTTCTCTTTCCCTTTACTCCACCATGAACAGCACCATTAAGATTTGATGCTCTTGAGGAAGAACCACTGACACCACCATTGATCAGCATTTCCCTCTTCTTTTCCTTGATAAACATGGACGCATTCTTGGATGATGCTTGTTCTGATGAGTGAATTGAACCTTGAAAAGAATCAACCAGTCCCCTGTCTACATAATCTCTGTGGCAATCATATTTCTCAGAAGCACTAGAAACTGCACCTGTAGCAGCAGACAAAAAAATAATGAAAATTCAGTGAACCAACCAACTCTCACAAATTACTTTAGCAAAAATTTCAAGACCCAATATGTTAAAAGAATAACAAAACATTCACTGACGTTACAAAAGTAAGCAAAAGCAGAATTTTGAAATACCTGATTTTCGGGCTTCAACTTGATGAGAAGATTTGTTACATATATTACTGCCAGTCCCAGAGACAATGCAGTCTGCAGGTTGTGCATCATTCTCACATGAAGGGGGAGAGAACAAGATATTTTGTAGGGTAGGTTCACTAAAGCAGCTAATGCCAGCTTCTTCATATCTTTTACATCTTGCAAGAGTACGCTTGAGAAAACCCAGAGCAACTTGTTTTGACAGCTTGTGAACTGCACCTTTTGAATTTTTGCTTCCTCGGCATGCCTGCCAGAATTTAAGTTAATAGAAAACCAATGTTAATGACTTATGAAATGCCTTAACTCATTCATTAAAATAATATTACCATTTAGCTGTGACCTTAGAATTGTAAGCTTCACTACCCACAATTAAATAAAATTAATTAACCAGAAGAGGCTACATAAAATTTAGAGAAATTGTCTATCTGTGAGCACTTGTCACATACAGAAGATGGTGAATATGATCATGTCACCTCCATTATCATAAAAACTAGTAAGAAATATTGGGAAACAAGGCAGCTATGAAACAGGATAGGAGGGAGTGGGTGGGAAGTGAACTGTGAAGTATTTCCCAATTAACCTTGAAAAGAAGGAAAAGAAAAAAATCAAAACCACTACAGAAGCTGTTTCCAAACCTGTGGACTACTTGCATGTATGACCCAGAAAAAAACAACCAACAACACAAACTGAAGAAGGAAATCTGTCTAAAGAGGCAGAAACCCAAGTACCCAACAGAACAACCAAGTAAACCGCATGGTTTAGTAACATGTAACTTAACACAAATTCAATTGCAAAAAGGACAGGACTAGGCCTAACCAACATAATCTTCAATGCTTTTGTCAGCTATAAAAAGTGGTGACTAGGTTAATTCCAAAGTACACAGTATTTTACCCATTGAACAATAATAAACTGGCACACATCACTGAATAATATCTGTCACAGCAAAAAAGGAACTGAAAGTCAACACCATCTTTCAATCTCTCTAAATCTACCATAAGTTCTAAATAAGATGTGTCTGTTAATAGCACTTAACTTCATCCTTTTCCTTTTGACTTAGTGTGTCGCTAAGAAAAATACATGTATATGACTAAGCCAGAAGGAACTCAGTCCCTACACTGAAATTAAGCCCAATAAAGATATATTTGGTCTTTAAGCACGTAAGCTTTATGAAGCCAACCCTAGAACCCAATGGCTAGAATGTGGCAGTCAACAGTTTCCGCAGTGCAACCAGTAATGTTGCTCTGCATGAGACTTCGTAAGGTCCACACAATGCAACCAAGTATTGCAAAAAATACAAGATTTTATGACTACAAATATGGTGAGGAAGTTTGTAGATCTTAATAAAATACAATAAGGTTAGAAAAGGAAAGTTTATTACCAATCTCTTTCTGTAAGCCATTTCAATAAGTTGGTCAAATGCAACTTGTTCAATCTTCCTGCAGAGTAAGCACATAAATCTTAATAAGAATCAATAAATGTCTTAAGCACAAACTTAAGAAATGGAAAGTCATTACTCATGAATGCTGGCAAGAAAACAAGGAAATTAGGTCAGGATGATCCTCCCTAATTAAATAGATTACATGTAAAGCATATCATTAGAACATACCGTCTTTCAATGTCCCTCCCTTCTGGAACAGCTCTATCAATTTTTTCCAAGTTTTCCTTCTTCCTTCCATTCTATTAGTCAATCAAAATAAGGAACAATGATATAAGAATTACAATTATTATTTTTTTTGGTAAGAAGAAAAACAACATTTAAGTTAAATGTGATTAAATCTATCAAGGAAAATTCATGTGGTGCAAACCTGTTCATACAGTGATTTCTCAAGTTTCACAATGTCTTGATTTATAGCTTCATCTTCCTCAGCTAAATCAGGCTGCACCAAGAAAAGCAAGTTTAAGGAGGATAGCCATGAATATAGTAAGATTCAAGTAACTAAAACATTTCTAATTCCATATACGAAATAAAAGCCTACCAATATTTCTGGATATAAGCCAATGCTCTGCAATTCTAACAGCAGCCTGTCATCCAGAGACATCAGCTGATACTGGTCATCAGGAGAAGGAAAGCTACGAGCACTTAGTTCAGCAAGCTGAAGTTGATCAAGATCGTTTGAACATATTTCACTAGTGAGTGTGATATCAGAAAGGGAAAATTCTTCATCTCCCTGCCAAACTCCAGTGCTTTGCGAAGAACTGGATGTGTTTGGGCACCTAAATGTGTTGGATGTGGTACTCTTGTCACAGGATAGTCTGTCCAGCATGCAATTCTTCTGAATTTGAAGATCCACCTTCGATTCAACTTCAGAATCCATTCTATCCCGATCTTTGAGTTCAAAATCAATTTGATTACAAGAACCACAATGAGAATCATCACTAGCACACTGTCGAGATATATTCTTTGCTTCACTTTGGTGATATGATTCTTCATTTTCATCTTCTTCAATTAGAGCACAAAGAAGTTTTTGGAATAATGGGGTAACCTTGTCTAGTCTTTCCATGTCATTTTTTCCGACTAAAGCATCAAACTTAGTTGATTCTCCATCACAGTGGCTTCTCTTTCTTTCCTCTGAACCTTGAGTGGTTTTGTTATTTATAACAACACCCTGAGGAAAAAAAATTTACTAGTTACCAACACTTTTCAAAAGGTTTAGCTCATATTTAAGTTGTTCATTTCCCATTAATTGTTAATTTTTTTCCAAATAAAAAATTTGGCAGCAATTGTGAAGATCATGAAATTAACAGATGGAGATCTACATCGAAGGTCTTCATTATTGATAAGTGAGATGAAAGACATAGGCCAATTTATGCATAATGCTAAACACTTACCAACATATCATGATCAATGCCAAACATATGAGATAAACTTTTATCAAATTCCTCAGCAATATTGAGCTGATTCAGCAACCAAAAAATCAGTAAGTCAGAATCTGTTCAACATATTGAGAATGAAATGGTAACTTTACATTTCCAGAAAAGCATGACATGTTCAAGACCCAGTTGCTACCTGTTGCTTCAAGTAAGATACATCATCTAAGCTGATAGAATCAAAAATAGGCTCCATTTTACTCCAGAATGGACCCACACAAGCAAGATCTACATAAAATATGCCAGTAAACTAGTGAGATATAAAACTGAATACAAAAAGGACTAACGTTTTAGAGATATACAGAAATTTTAAGAGGTAAAATGGTTCAAGATGCATACTGCTAGCATTACGAGCAGCATTTGCAGCTTTATATAATTCTTCGCGATCATCATCAGATTCACCTGGACAGTCATTTTTCAATATATAGTGCGTAAAAACGTAATGAAAAGAAAATATAGAATAGAACATTAACAGATTATATATTGACCTGAAGACAAAAATATACTAGAAAAAAAATGAAAAAAAAAAATTAATGATAGAACATGAGTTATATGTAAAATAATAAAAATATAACAATTGAAAATTATTTGATATGTTAGCCTCTAAATGCCCGAACAAATCAACGTTATGACATAATAGCTTATGAAAAATATTCCGGTTGGGGAAAACCTAACACACTAATATCACTACCATATATAAGCAATGTGAAAGAACTTAGCCGCCTCTGCCATAGGGAAAACTAAAGTTCCAAAACAAACAAAGCTTAGTTTTAAAAAATCAACACTACCTTCAAGATCAGAAGAACCAATGGTCAGTTGCTTCCCAACACGAGTCAAAATTTTGCGATCTTTCTGCTTTTTCGAAGGAGGGCGCCCATATTTGCTGCATTCAACAAAAGGGTATGATAACAGTTTTGGCAAATGGAAGGAGAAAGGATGAAGTAGATCTAAAAATGAAATCAACATACATTTTATTCTTATCATTAGACCTCATGTCCTGTACAGGCTTCATTGGTGGATTCTCTAACTTCTCCCTCCCTGAAGGAAGGCCTGACCTTATTAACGATAAATTCCTCCCAGTTCTTCCCTGTCTCTGCACAATATCTCCAGATTCATCTGTTGGTATTTTATTCTTCCTCATTTGTAACATAGAAGCACCAGCCTTATCCGCAGCCATAGCAAAATCACTGCCATTCACTGCTTTCTCTTTTGATTTGTTTTCCCCAGCTCCAGATTCTTCACTTTCAGATAATCCAAAAGGAGATGAAATATCATCAGGTGGTCTTTTATATTTGGGAGTACTGTTGTCAGAACTGCTTGCTATTTGAAATCCATTGTTGCCAACAGAAGAAGCTTTAACACTGAAATCAGAAGTTAGACATCCTTCAGATGCCTGAACTTCGAGATTGCGTGAGACAGGAGACACTACTTTCATTCTTCTTGTGCGTGAATTTTTAGGTGGCCTCTGACCAACCCACTGAGTCATTGGATTTATAGAAGAACCTATAGATGTAGAAAGCTTTTAATTATTTTCCATACCAACAACTGAGACTTTGTATTGGAATTTGAAGGCTGTAACCAACCTGGAAAAGTTCCAGATGAAGGTTGAATGTTAGACAAGTCTAGCGCACTAACTGAACCCGTTCGTGGTGCCCGAGATACCTTGTTTTTAATTAGTGTGTTAGGGCTGCTTGCCGGGTCCTCCTGAATATTTGTCCTAATTATAGAAATATCAACAATTAAATGAATTAATAAATTTGAAAATAACTATCAATGCATATAAATGTAAAAAAGGACCGGTCCAAAACTTTGTGGTGTTAAATCTCACTTTAGAATCTCACAAAAAATGACTGGTAAAGAAATATATTAAGACCATGCCAACGTCAAGATATCTTAAAACCTGTTGTTTCCTTTTGCCACAACTTTCTGCTCAGCTATGTGGTCCCTGTGATGAGAAACACCTTCTTGCTCACTTGCAAGCATTGTACGCACACCTGTATTAGTAAGCTCTGAAGAGCCCTCAGGCTTATTGATTCCACTAGATCCAGTAAGTGACTTCAATCTGCATCACAAAAAGCCAATTATTATAAGAGATTTAGTTTTACTTTTCTGTTCTTCTCCAACAACTAAAATCGTGTAGAACCATTTGACAATGATGTGACTACCTAAGATCTGAAAAGTTACCCAAGTGGAATAAACAACATAAACATCCAATGAGGAGAATAAATTACCGGAGGAACAGATAAGCAGGAGAAAAAAAATGCAATTTATGCAGAGGAGCTTTTATCTAATTAGTCAATTGTGGAATATAAAGCAAACAACAAACATGTAATTTAAACAAAAAAGAATGGAATTTTCCAACAGAGTCTACCACTCTACCCTATAGCAGTGAAGCTAATTCAACATTATTGACCTTGACGCATTCAATTGTAATATACAGAGAGAGGAATACAATCATTCATATGACATTATCTATGAAAACAAGCTCTCTCTTGGTTGCACTCCTGCAATCTATTTATTCAATTATTTCACTCCAGAACACAAATAGAAAGCAGGACATTTATTAATCCAAGTATTTAAGGCTTCAAGTGATTTTTATACCACAAGTAATTTTTCCGAGTATGGCGAAGTTTAATAGAAGTACTTTTTGAAACAACTGTGATTTTGAATTGAAAACATGATTATCAGAAGTGTCAACAATTCTGCATTAAAAATTAACCACCTTTTCAACTACATCAAATTGTCCAATGGCAAAAGCTACTCATTCAAGGGATTATTTAAGTCATATAAATTACATGTAGCAGGAAGTTCATTCGGAACAATCACAAAATATGAAAATGGTCTACAGAAAGAAAAGTCATAATCAGAGCTTTGACAAGACCCCCAAAATTAAAGCTCTGATTCTTACAAACAAAACAAAAAATGCCAACAGAATCCATTTCTATTTAATATCCAGTTAAGAGAATGCAAGTTAGAAAGTTTTTATCCCTTCTAAAAAAGTAGACAATAATAATAATGCTTTAACCAAGGAGCAAGAGAAGCAAAATACAGAATGAACCAGACCACTCAGTTGATGATATTAAAAGCACAAGTATCGATGATGTGATGCGTATAATGGGTGCCTTTGGAATGCTGGAAAGGCATCACCCTCAAACATAGAGAGAGTGAAATGATGTCCACATATATGATGTGCAGAAAGACCTAAAATGCCTCCAACACAATCTTCATCTACAACTAACGTTACACTTGAAAAATATATCCTGCAACTTAAAAGAAAGACAAATAAAACAAAAAGAATAACTACCTGAAACCCTGAGAATCATAAACTCGCATCTTCGAATCAGCATTTGCCTTTGGAAGCTTAGCACGTTTTACATCCCTTTCACTAGTCATAACTCTGTTTCCTACAGCTCCAACAGACCTCTTCTTCTTTATTTTTTGATCCAACCCTTCACCTCCAGCAAGTAATCTGCGAGTTTTCTCTTCATTTCGAACAGAGCCCCCACCAAGTGTCTGAATCAGATTTCCATCCTTCTCTGTAACTATCTGCTGCCTTCCAATAGCAGCAGGCCTACTTTCCTCCTGGGAGCAGTGCAGAGTGAACAAAGTCATGAAGAGAGAATGAAAGTGGACATAAACAACTTACTATCAGAAATTAATATATCTAAAACTTTATGTTTTGAGGTTGTAGAGGAAAACAGAGCATGAAAATTATATGTACAATTTTAAAATCTGGCATGAGTATTGTTAGTGCTTTTACTTGGACGTTGAGATGATAGACGACTCAAATAATTTCATCCTAAAATGTTTAAACTAAGCTTAAAGCAACTTGAGACCTTTCTTTAGGGATAAGAAAAGGAGCTTGAAATTTCGATTGTGCGAATCAGTGAGCATATAATGCATTCCTATTAGACCCTAAACAAATTGAAACTCTATCATTAAACGGGCTTTAACAATATATATATATATATATATATATATATATATATATATATATGTAGGACAAAACTGCAATAAAGCATTTTAATATATAGCATCTTGTATTTCACAGATAAAGAATAAAATCACAGAAGTAACAATAGTGTAACACATACGCACCCGCACATCTGCCACTGACGTACGAATTCGCTTGTTCAGCATTGAATTTGAGGTTTTGGCTTCTGATCTCTGAGTCAGATTGTCATTAGTGGTTTTGTGAATCTGGCTACCCATCTTTGTTAAGTTTACTCCACCTCCCCTGTCATTTGATAAATCAGTCCCTTGTCGCTTCTTTGAGTGTAATCTCTCCGTGTACCAATTCAATTTAGAAATATTTTCCCGAAGCATTTTTGATCTATCCCTGATCAGCATATTACACTTTTATTAGGACATCAAAATGAATATACTGTGTCATTAAATAATAGGTAAACAATCTACATTTGAAACTAACACTCCTATAGTAGACAGAAACATAATCACAAGTATTTTACTAATCTTAAGGGTGCATAGAATTAAAAAAAAAAAAAGGCCAAGCATCCCAAACCAAAAAAGAAAAAGAAAAAAATACAACAAAAAGCAGGGTGGTGGTAAAATAACCAAGAAATTATTTCATCATATCTTCCTATTAAAAGATGCAAACATCATCGAAACTAATGTTTTCCCATATCTGTCACTTAATTTTTCCTGTATCATGATTGATACTGTCACCACTTACGCCCTCGTATAAAAGATTATACCAACTGTAAAGAATTGGACCATTCATTTCACAATTGACCCAGCCATCCTTAATTTTGTTGTCAATCAGCCTAACAATTAGAATTTTTCAGATCTGAAAAATGTGTTAGAGGAAATAGGGATAGAATAACAATTACATACCTTGCCTTCCTGGAAGCATCTTGTACACTTTCTTTGAAGTGCTTTAGCTCCCTTGAGGTTACTGGAGCCATGGGTTTAAGATGTTGAACTCCAAAAGAATGGTCTTCTGATACGTTCCCCCCAGAAACACCTAGAACCCTCCCAAGTTCACGTGTGTATTTTTGATTGCTTAGTGTAATTGGATCCAGTTGCAAACACTGAGGCAAGGGTGGCATATCCGATGAAGCTATCCCACTGCTGCTGCTGTTCAAGTTATTCCCAGAACTCAACATTAAGCCTTTGACCTTACTTAAAGCCGAGAACGCAGGCCAAAAGAAAGTCTCTTTCTTTTGTACCAAAGACCAATTCGAGTCTCTGAATCCCTGCCTGCAGTTTAATAAACCAAAACAGTAGTAAGCAACCTATCATGAATCTACTAAATGCACCATCACATGAAGATTAGGTAGCAACAGCAGTAACACCTAGATAAAGTACATAAAGCTAAAAAGAAAACTATACCCAGCTCATATAAAGCTCCAGATAGTTTACTTTATATACAACAGGATCATACAGGGGAAAATATGAAACTAATTACTTAAAAAAACTAATGTACTGAATGAAACTCAAGAGAGAAATGCACTAGTTTCCAGCTATGTTGAGCAACCCATGTTTCTCCATTGTCTAGAATCAACATAACACTTGCTTAGCTTTAGAATCTAACGTCCCCAATGTACATTACTAAGTCCATGAAATTCCAAATGCCAAATTGCAGAACACCCTACTGCTCAGGAAAGACTAGTAGAACCCAAAATGAAATTGAGTTGAAATTTTCCACTAAATACCGAAAAATTAACAATCAAAAAACAAATTGGTGCAAGCAATCGTAATGCAGAGAACGGCGTAAGACAATTTCGGAAGCATCTGAATTGGGGGTTTTTGGAACAAAACGTTCGAAAAACCCTAGGTCAGAGTTTGGGGTATTTGTTTAGATGAATTGAGAGGATTGAACGTTAATTTGATGAAAATAGAGAAGGAAGAGAGAGAGAAAAAAAGTACCTGGAATTGAACAAAGTCCAAGGGGAAGATCAAAGACGCAGATTTAAGGGCTCCGAGTACCAAAAAGGTTCAGAAATATGAAATAGTAAACATAATAATAATAATAATATTGAGGTAAGAATGAAAATAACGCGGGAGGGTACCACCCTTGGCTTTTATTTTCTTTTTTAGATACACATGTGTATTCTACGCCGCCTCTACGGTATACGTATATTTTTGAGGTCAACGTAGGATACGTAACCGAGCAATTTCTGAAATTATTCTTCACTTTTAATTTAGCATGTTTAAAAGATTTTTTTTTCAAAAATTTGAATAAAAAAATACCCCAATTGCCTTTCATGCATCGTAACTTGTAAGGTAAATATTTATTGTTTCCTATTTTCTCTTACTTCACTTTTTCATTGATTTTTTATAGGAAAAAATCGTGTATCCTTAAAAGTTAAAACGATATAAGGTTGTATCAGTTAAATTATGAGGAAGAGAGAGAAAAAAAGATTTCTCTTACTTTTTCATAATCTATTTCTTTCTTTCTTAAAATAATATTTTTTTAAAAGGATATGCATTTTTTTCCTTTTTTATAAGTGATATGTTTCTGCATATAAGATTAGAAAAAAGTGTGTTACTTTAAATGACATAAATTATGTCATTTTATAGACACAAAGAGATGTGAATCTCACTAAAAAAAGAAAGACAAATATATATATATATGAAATAACACAATTTATGTCATTTTAAATGACACATTTTTCCCGTAAGTCTAATACACATATTGAATTTGTTGCCTAAAAACGTGGACCACTCATTATGAAAAACTAAAATGATTTTAGAGTAAATACCCTTTTTCGGTCCTCAGCAAATTTTACGATGCTCGCTTTAGTCCCTAGTAAATAAAAAGGCTATTTGTGGTCCCTAAAAAATTCAAAGTGGACCCATTTTAGTCCTTTTGAGAGACTAATGTGGGTCTTTTTTGAATTTGTGAGAAACTACGATCTCAATTAAATGGATCCATTTTGAATTTCTTAGGTACCACGAATAGCCTTTTTATTTGCTAGGAACTAAAGTGGGCATCATGAAATTTGCTGAGGACCAAAAATGGTATTTACTCATGATTTTATGTAATATGATAAGTCTCTAAAAAAAGATTTTAGAATAATAAGATTAGAAATATGGTGACATATTTGATCTTATTATATTTCATTTTTATCACACTTTACACTCAATTGTCAAGGCTTCCATTAATTATATTATTTTTTTATGCAGAAATCCAAACTTTAGCCTAATAGAGAAAGAAAAATGAAAGAATGGTTCAAGCCCAAAAAGTGAAGGCTAAATTAGCAAAGTAAAGAAAAAGGCCCAAAAAATGTGCTGCAGCCCAATGAACACAAACACTAAGGGCTCGTTTGGTGGACAGGATAAGATAAGAAAGTTGGATAAAGATAGAAAAAGATATGAACTGGATAAGCACATATCATATCTTGTGTTTGATATGCACTGGATTTGCAGTCTGATAGGATTATGTTATCCTATCATGTGTTTGAAATGAACCATATATCATCAGGATATGATATAAAAGGACTAAAATACCCTTTTTGACATAATATCATATAATTTATTAAAAATTAATTTTTAAATATTTTAAATTTATTTATACAATTCTAACAATTATAATTTTAAGCAAAATGCTTTAAATTAATTTTTTTATCCTCAATATCATATGCATCATCATTCAATAATCATGTTCCATGTTTAATTCAAAGAAAAAAAAATCATTCAATTAAAAAAAGGCATAGCGATTAATTGTTCCTTCATTCGCTAAGTAGAAATTTTGGTCTGCAAGTAAATACAACTTATAATTTGCGACTTAGAAGGAGAAAGAATAAACAAAATATAATGCAACAAATGCAATCATAGATATTTCAAATCGTTATAAGAAATACACAATACAAGTAAAATTACATAACACAAGTAAAATTACAAAGTAAGAACACTATAATCAATTTATATGTCTATTAGTTAGTCATTCATTCCACATTTGTGTTGCTAAATTTTTCCTCCAAACAGACCACTGATCACTAGCCTCAATTGTATTGATATAATCACCATCACCGTGTGCTACTTCAACATTGAGTATTTGTGTTTCCAATTCTGCATCTAAATGTGCTTCCATTGGGTCAATAGGCATTTCTCTTCTAATAAAATTGTGAAGAAGCAAGCAATTATTATACGATTTTGGATTTTGATGGGATAAAAAGATCGACTTCTAAGTATAGCCCAACACATTTTTAACAATCCAAAAGTTCTCTCTATCATATTTCTTGCCATGGAATGTCTCATATTGAATAGTCCTTCCTTATATGTTGGTGTATACCCACGTCTCCATTCACTGCTATGGTACCGATAGCCTCTATATGGAGCGAGAAATCCCTTACAATTTGTATATCCGGCATCCACAAGATAATAATATCCTATAATAAAAAAGAGTCGTTAATTCAAATAAACTATTACTTATTAATTAATGGGAAAACTATTTCTGCAGTTAATGCAGATAAATTATCTGCATTTATTCCCAAAACGATATCATTTTGGTATTGAAATCTTAAAAAATTTAAATATAAAGACTATTATAACCTGAAATAAATTAAAATTACAAAAATATCATGATTTCCGTCCCAAAACGACGTCGTATTGGTCTTACTGCAAATAATTATTTGCAGTAACTGCAGAAAAAACGAACCCTTAATTAATATCACAATTTTTGTACCATGTACCCATTTTTTACTTGTTGGAACTATTAAGCCATTCCTCCTTGAAATGGCATCTCACAATACCTTTGAATCTGATGTTGATCCTTCCCATCTGGGTAATACATATATAAACTTCATATCCCTGGAACATATGCCTAGGACATTGGTAGATATATCTCATTTTCTATTGCGATATCGGGGTTTATCAATTGCTGACACATTAGCTTCAATATGGGTTCCATCTAATGCCCCAAGACAATTCTAAAACATATCCAAAAATCAACAAAAAAAGTATAAAATATATAAAACACAATAGATTTAAAATCAAACAACATCATCATACCTTAAACCATTTCCTTCCATATTTCATCCAAGCAATCTTCTGGGACGGGATATGGTGCTCTAAGAAGTGTTTCTTGCAACCGTAAAACAACATTCAACACTAAATTAAAGTATCTACTAACTATTTCTCCATATCGTCTAAACATAAATCTAATTACACGATTCTTAGAATGACGTGCCAATATATGTAAAAACATTGCCACTTGTTCTTCAACACTTACTAGTCCATCATCTTTTAATCTACCATTATTTTGAAGGAGGACACATAATAAATGAAATGACCTAATTTCCATGCGAAGTTGATCAACACAAGTTTGATCATCATGGTTCATCAAACTATCTAGAAACTGTCCCCTAAGCCCTTCTTTAATCATTGGTGGCTGCCTAAGATTATAATTTTCATGCCACCATAGCGCAAAATGACAGACTTCCATTAAAATTGTAATACAAACCCAAACCATATGGAAAAACATTTGCTCCAAAATTAAATCTGACATAATGTCAAGATGCTCCTCCGAATCCATGTCAACCTGTGCACAGAAAGAGAGTGATATAAGGAAAATGGTGTATTCATGTAAAAGGACACACCTCACTCAGATTGTGTTTGCCTTAATATTTTATATATTTTTGGGTTCTTGGCCTATTCCTAGCACTGGTCTCTACCACTACATTTGGGTCCAATTATATAACAATCATCCATGTCCATAAATTTGGAAGAAAAATCACCAAATACAACTATATTGACCGAAACTTGATAGAGGAAAGTGCATGGAGACACTGGTATACAATATTGGTCCAATTATATAACAACCATCCATGTCCACTACATTTGACATTAATTTTCTTTGCAAATAAATATAAGAAAGTGCATAGAGAAAGTAATGTTCTACTAGTTTTTGTAGACTTTTTCACAAACTGTAGGTTTACAAATCAAAATAACCAGAAGTGTTTGGAAAGTTTTAGTACAGGAAAATCAATTAGCATGTGTAAGATATATGAGTTGTGTTATAGATGCACCTATCTTTCAAACAAATAAATATATATATTATGGTACATTTCTCCAATACCATTTTAAGTTAATATGGACCAATGTCAATCATACTTGCATAGAATGTCCTTCTTAATAACCAAACCAATAACAACTCAAGAGTCTCCATGATTTGCGACAACAAGCATCTCACCATCAATTAGAATTGCAGTCTTTGCAGTTGATCTTTCTTTTCCCAAGACAACTGCAATGTCCATCAAATATCATGTTCTTGCCTAAATTCTAAAACTACATAATATTCCATGGGTGAGAGCCCATGACATTGACCATCTTGCTAATAATGCACATTTGATGCGATACACTCAATAACTTCTGATTCATGTCGTCACATAACATTTTATCATATGCATTTTAAAGGAAGACATGTAAAAAACAATAATATTTGAGTACAAACCCACATAGAATATTAAAAAAAAACTTCTCAATTTCTATTTAGCAAATAAGTTGAAAGACTAAACAAGTTGTATGACTTGAGAACAAATCTACAACCTCAAGAAAACTTCAGAACATAGTAAGAATTTTCATTTGCAAAATACCTCGAAAGTAAATTAATAAATACGCTCCACTAGTTTACAAGAAAAAATTAAATAATTTGGCATCCTAAACTTGCATAAGAAAATCAGGATTTTCTACTCACCTTCCATCTTATGGAAGGTTTCTCTACTAGTCATATATTATCAGAAGATGTGCAGAGCAGAGTTGTTGTTCAGGATTCAAGACATAAAACTTTTGGAAAATGTGGGAACGAGTTATATATAAGGCCTATTCTACAGTGTTGTTAAATGGTGCATTTAACAGCGCTCAGCTATAACCTTGTTGTGTTCATATGATAGCCATTAGACAATTTCAAACAAGAGAGATCTTTATATGTCTTCCCTTAATTTTACTAATCCTTAGACAATGAACTCCAAATCCATGTTAAGCCAAAACCTAAATTGGT